TTTGAATGGTGTAAACTGTACGATGTGAATGATGGAGCCTACCTGGACACGGTCCCGGGGTAATGTAGATATCATCTAGAGCCATGTCACTGGAGTAGTCAATACCCATCACGCCCTCAAAGACAAACTAGGAAATCAAACCAGAAAGATATATAATGCAATTACGTATACAAATGAAAATAAATGACAATGTATTGAACTCGTAAACGCTATGAAAATTTTCTTCATATTTTTTGCGCTCCTTATATTGGATATTATTATACTATATGCATGTTATTTGCATTATATGATCTAAATTGTATGGGTCTAAAGACAGTCAAGAAAAAGAAGCTGTATTCTAGTCATGAAGATTAATCTCTTGTTTTAATTTTCTACGTCCCTCGAATACGAGGTAATTCACCTCACCATATAGAGTGCCGAAATGCTCACGTCATATTCGCTCGTTTTTTCTGCTTCTTCTCATTTCTCTATGTAACTCATTCTAATTCTAAAACTCTGCGCCTCAAAATAGTTTACTAGATCGATGGCGCAAAACAAATGCTGTATTATTAGTAGTAGTAGTTTACAAATAATACACAGCAGTGAGGGCATTAGTGAGAATTACCCACACAAGGACCTTTGAAACAGTCTGTTTTGGCTGTTCTGAAGGTACCGAGTGTGGGTAATTTTACTAATGCCCGAACGAAATGATGTGTATTATTTGTTTTATATTTCATTTGTTTAAAAAAAAATGATGTGTTATAACATGATTTACTAATGACCAGTCATTATTCAAATTACGCGTTAGGCAAAATAAATGCCTGGTCACGTGCATGCTCTCAACCAATCATTTGATTAGTATCCACGTCATCATCGTACAATACTCTATATAATTACTTTAAAATCTGTGGAGGCTGGGTAGTGCACCCTTGCGTGAAACCATATCCTAGCCAGGGACCCAGTCCTCGTCCACAGCAGGTGACTCTCAGTGGTGTTCAGCTCAGCGTAGAGATTCATAGTACCCATGTGAACACCCCACATATGATACCAATAATCGACACACGCCCCTCCCCAGGAGGACGGGATGGGAGGCGACTTGAACGCCGCTGACTTCCTATGATTGGACGAGCCCTCTGTGAAGACGTAGTAACCAGAATCTTTAAATGTAAAAGAACGGGGAAATAGTTTAATCATTGCTAATGATAAAATAGTTCAGAATAATAAATGTTGTATACCTTTAGTATATTGCTATTTTTATAGGTCGTTTTGTATGTTCTTTTTGGCATTTTTATTGAATTGTGGAAATAATAAAACAAATTAATTAAATATTAGTTGTAGCAATAGAGATGTTAATGATTATGATGATAATAAATAATAATAACAATGATACCAAACTCAATGATAATGATAATTTTGTCAACCCAACAAAGGCTTGTCAGCAACAGCACTTCTTCATGAGGACTCTGCAAGTTTCTTTATCTCTAGAGTTGCCAGGTACCCATTAACACCTAGGTGGAGAGTGGCGTATGTGGATTAGTGTCCTGTCAAAACTATTGCCGAGCTTAGATTTGAACAATTCACCTCAAGACTGAAAGTGTGTCAATGATTAAAAGACTATACTACGACACCTCCAATTAAAATGTATCATTGCAACAATCCCTTTAATTTGATCTGGTCATATCTTAACAGCAACCAACAATGAGAGCCCATAAACAAAAATTGATATTCATTTTGGACAAACCCCAAGGCATTGTTTGTTCTTGTTCTTATTATTTTTATTATTATCATCAGTTTTGTGTACGTTTATTGTCTATGTAATAATATCGCTTGATCTTGTATTCCTGTAAGACTAAATTTTTAAAAATGAAATCAAACTTTTCAAAAAGAAAAAAGAAGAGAGCTTACCGTCTCCGGTTGTATGATCGGTCTCTGGACCTGATTCTGCTGTAGGAGTGAGCAGGTTAGTACGAGACCACTGGAAATCATCAGTGGTAGATTGAACGAAGTCACACCAATCCAAGTCAAAAGTACAGCTATACTTGATATTAGCTGATACAACGAGAACAAAAAACAAAAGGAAAATTAGTCGGTTTTAAAGCGATACTGAACAGAGCTTTCTGCCCTAGTGTTCCGTTCAGAGCCATTTATACACAGAGGTTAGCCTACCCGGTTCGAGTTGGACACTACATAGCGTCTACTGCTTTGTTGGGCAAGCACAAAACAAAAGAATATACGCCATGTTGTGAGGCAGTGAAACCAAGTTGGCCAAACGCTGTGTATAGATGGCTCTGGTTCTGTTGATTGCACAGCGCCATCTCATCAACAATTTGCCAACACTGCGTAACCCAATACCTAATTCTCACTTCGTAGACAGGGGACTCCAAGCAAGAACCAACATTGCGGCTAGGAAAGCAGCGAGTTAATGGATAGTACTGCTATAGCTGACTTGATTGAAATGGCGCTAGATGGGATTCAGCAGTAGTGCTTCTATTACATTATCTCTTTAAATTCGATACTTAAATTTGTTCTGATATATGTTAACAATATTACTATTCTCGCCCAAATACTCATTTTATTTTTCTTCATATCATTCATTTCTGATATCATTTCTGATTTCGTTTCTTTCCAGATTGCAAAGTCATGATTTCTGATAATAAATCATAATAGAAACACTCATTTCTTGCACTTTGCTTCGCAGTGCTCTATTAGTATTACCCTTAGTTAATGTAGTCCGGCTGCAATTACAACGCTCAATCATTTGCAGGAATTAATTCCTGCCAGGGTACCCGTTAAACTTCACCTGGGTCAAGTGTGTAAAATGCAGATTACATGTTTTGCAATATGGTATTAGAGCTGCCAAGGGATTCGACCCTCTACTCTGTGGTTTACAGTCCGGGCACTTATCCATTAGTCCACAACAGTTACACTTCTATATTTGTCCACATGGTGATATGAGGGCATTTTCGTTGGTGTTGACGAGGACGCTGTCTTCTACCGATGCGAATTAGCTCCAGTCAACCTGTCCGTTCACTACCTTGTAACCCTTTTCGTTTTCAGTCGACGCCCGTTCTCTGCACCATGACGCTGCGATATAGCAAGATGACATCTATTTGACGATGGGGTACAAGTTTTTTGACGAACCCCAAATCGTGGATGAACGTATTCTCAAATTTAGCCTCAACACGTGAGACGACCCGACTTTTCAGGAAGAAGGACGCATGCGCAAATCGCCGGAATGACGTTAGATCTTTGACGTCGTTTATGTGACATGACAAACGAAAAGGCCCTAATGATGGTGAGAAACGCACTCAATCAATCAGTGAGTATGAAGTGCAAACTTACGTGTTGTCGAAGGTAATATCGTCGTAGGTGGCGTTGTTGTCTTATGGTCCGGATTTGCATACGATGGTAATACTATGAACCGAAAGAAAATGATTTAAATGATTAATATTAAAATATGTTGTATTATATAATTACAGTTACCAGATCCAGGTGATAGAAATTATGTTCCTGGGTTAACAAAGCATAATGGCAACAATAATCATTATTATGCCATGATACTCCTCAGCGTCGCTATGAGATGAACAAGTATTTACAAGCCTTTGTCAGAGTTAAACGTGTCGGTATTGCACAACAAAAGAGAAAAAAGCAGAATTCAAGAATTACGCGACTCCACATAAATATTTCTCAGATCTTTAATCTCGTCAACATGGATGAAAATATATTCTATGTCCCGAAAAAGTTCTGTGATTTGTGTGATTCTGGAATCATCTTCAGGAGACATCACTCCATTTTTGGGTTGACAGCAGCTCGCCGACAAACATGAGAAAACATACTTTAACATTATCCGTGTCATGTTTACTACTATATATCACCCTCCGGAATCTCCACCCCCCCCCCCCCCCCTTCTCCTTCCACTGTCCCTCGATTACAAGATGAGTACCAGGTAGGATGCGAAAAATTCATGTGGTTGGATGAGCAAGTGTGCGCTTGTAAAATGGCGACTAGCTGGAATACTCCCCAGGGAGTGGAACATGTACATACATTGTGTGCAGGATTAAGCTTGAATACTGAATCCGGGGTAATAGTATATCTGTAAAGCGCTTAGGCACATCGTTGTGTCGATGTATTGGGCTTGTAAAATGGCGACTGGCTGGAATGCTCCCCAGGGAGTGGAAAATAAACATACATTGTGTGCGGGGGTAAGCCTGAATCGGATGACCGGGGTAATAGTATATCTGTAAAGCGCTTAGGCACATCGTTGTATCGATGTATTGGGCGCTATATAAAAGCCGAATATTATTATTATTAGTGAACCTACCTCCGCCATTATCCGTGTCATAATCACCCTCTGATATCTTAACCCCCTCCCCGTTTCACCGATCCACCCCCCCCCCCGCCTTCCCCTGTCCCTCGATTACAAGGGCCTAGTTGCATAAAACTTGTAACTTTGCCATCAATGGCAGCTACCATGGTAACCCGGCGCAACAGACAATCAAAATCAAGGTTTCCATGGTAGTTACCATTGATGACAAAGTTACGATCACTGGCAAATTTTGTGCAAAGGGGTCCTGATATTAAAGTAAACATACCTCCGCATGTATCCTCAGCGAATGAGATGTCATCTAAAGCCATATCCCCTTCATCTCCACCTCCTTCAGTGATCTCAAACACAATCTGCAACGGAGAGAAACCGCAACGCAATTAAAGCACGGAGTTTGTTCCTAAACATCTCAAGCATACAATTAAAATGCATAAACAGCTAGAATAGTTTTTATAATAATAATAATAATAATAATAGTGAACATTTATAATGCGCCTTGTCTGTCACAAATGACACTCATGGCGCAATAATGTTTGAAAATTGTATAATTGTATAAATGTAATATGATCCCATAATGTCGAAGCGCTGACAGAATGTGCACCATTTAGATCACCGAACTAAAATACGAAACTTACAAAAACACTGGGCTTTTTTGTCTAGGGACATTTCTTAAAGAGCCAAATAATTAAGATAATATTCAGTCCTTAAGGAAATAGATCCTTACCCAGTAATTCGAACTGGTCATGGTAATTGGGGCCTGGCCATCATTCCATACATCACCAACATTAGCCCCGTATTCCCACAGGGTCATATTGGTGCTGCCCTCTACGGTCTGGAGCAGAACCCTTAAAACACCGACATGCACACCGTTCATATGGTACCAAAATCTTATGCATCGTCCATTCGAGGACGTAGGGGGCAGTGTCGGACTTCTGAACCGACCCGTTTGACCGGCGAAGGTATTCGAAGATTCAATGTAAACATAGGTACCTGGAAGAAATAAAATAAAAAGTGAATTATTCGCTCACTGATATAACGTAGATAATTCCAACATCTTGATTATATTAGTAAGGATATTTTTCATTTTCTAAAACTTAAATTGCATTTGTTTCCCGAATTAATTAAAGTAGATAAATTGGCGAAGATGAGTGCCAAGAATGTATAATTTAGATCTCATTAAAAATGAATTTAACATTATAAACGCTTGGCAAAGACTCAGGATAGCTGCCTTTTTTGTTTATAAGCTTAAAATGACTGACTCGTTTTGCAACTTGAGGACTACACTGATATTTGCTCTGGTATTAATGCCACAGCTACAATTGCTACGGCGATAACTGTTCTGACCTTTAATTCTTCAAAGATATAGGTTTAAGGACAAAGTCTACTTTAGTATAATACACATAGGCCCGAATTCACAAAGGAGGATTCTGGACAAACCTAGGTTTATGTGTGTCATATGACGCGTTTTGACGCGTTTTGACAAACCTAGGTCTGTACAAACCTAGGTTTGTCGACAACCCTCCTTTGTGAATTCGGGTCATTGTGTTTATTCCAGGACTGAAGTAAGAACTGGGTTAGTGTAATTTGACGACGGCGCAACTGTCGCCAAAACATGCGTTTTGTAACGCAAGGAAAATAAGGAATCGATAAAAAAAGAAGAATATTAATAATTTAATTCAAAGGCCTACCTTCGGAAGTTTCAAGGGTGTGGTCTATAGATGGTCCAGTAGAAGGACTAGGAGTACCACCTTGGCCCAGGACCAGATCAAAATCATCCAGAGGTGAAGGGTCATTGGTCCAAGACTCGAAACCATCCTCAAAATCTACATTGCCTGAAAACAAAGATCAACGTAACTAATTATGAACAGGACATACACTGAGATACACAATAATATATACTGTTTTCGGAATAAATTACAGTGATCATTCAGTAGTAAGCATTATTATTATCTAAATATTAGATTCAGTATTATGCTCTTTAATTCGTTTGATTATTAGGTTATTTACTTCATTTCTTATCTTATTATGTGTTCCTTTTTTATATGTTTTTATGTTACATATTGTATATCTTGTTTTCTTTAATAGAGGGTTTGCCTTTTACAAGGTTTGTTTCCTTTTTGGCCACTGCCTTCCTCACTTTTATATTTCATCTCACGTATTGTCATACATTTGTCTGTTTATATATGTATTTGTATCTGTTGATCTCTTGAGGAGAAATAAATGAAACTGAAACTGAAATTGAAAACTGATATATTACAGAGAGATAGTCAGCGAAAAGTGAAATTTCAATTTATACAACTTTAAAACAAAGATAATGTTTCTACAGATATTTTATAGTAACAATGTATATCGGCAAAAACATATTTCGATGATGCTCGAAGTTTTCAAAGTAAGCATACAGGGGCCCATTTCACAAAATTGTCATCAGTGACAAATGAAAGTAATTTGTTATAAGCTACTGAAGTCCTTGCTTCTGATTGGTTATCGGCAGATTTGTCACTGATTATTGATTTTTGTCATTTGTCATTGACAAAAGGCTTTGTTAGACGGGTCCCAGGTGTGCATCGGCGGTGATAATGAATAAGGAATTCATAGATTGTGCAGGCAAGGATATTTTATCAGGTGGACACAAGGAAATCTTTACTGCCATTGATAAACAATAGCTATCATGTCCTTCTTGAAGACAGCCAAGGATTTGTGCTTTAGATGAACAGGGGAGTGTTTCACAAAGACTAAGATCGACTTTAAGTTGGACTTAACTATGGCGGCCGTTTATGCCACCATTTTTTGTATCAACATTTACTGGCGTTGGTCTCTCCTAGGGGACGTACCAATCGCGGTCACATATTTACAGAATGTACTTCTTTTTTTAAATTCTTTATTGAAGGAGTTTTTTTAATCTAAAGATCATAATTGAGTGACCGAGGGTGAGAGCAAACAGTGGCATGAATGGCCGGACATAGCTAACTCATATCCTGCCCTAAGGCTACATGCTAGCTACCGTTATATAGCTTTGTACATGCGAGCGAGCCAGTGCTTCGCTGCTTTGTGCATGTTTGCACGCATTCGCAATATCAGTTATTGTTTATGCTCATTGAACTGTGATGTGTGTGTTTCGCACGCGCTATTCATAGAACCATCGCGTCAATCAGATTATCTCAAAATATAATTGGCACGGGGGATTTGGGACTTGGCACAATGGGGATTAGCCCTGTGGCATGACAAGAGTTAAGTCCAACTTAAAGTCGATCTTAGTCTTTGTAAAACACTCTCCTGGCTTGTAGACTAGGAACTTACCTACAGGAGGGCATGACCCCTGGGAGAGCAGGATATCATCCAGAGCGATATCACCTAGGTTACCGTCCCCTACACTCGCAGAGAAGACGAGCTGGAAGTCTTCTGACAAGTCGATAGGAACGCGTGCAACGTTCCACTCTTTACCGATGTCACCCGTTATTGTAAAGAGAGTGAAAGAGAACGCCCCGTTTCGCTGTTTGGACAGAGAAGAAGAAGAAGAGAGAGAGAGGTGAGAATAACAGATACTAAGTGGAAGAGGAAGCATGAGAAGAATTTCTCATGCACGACTACATTCATTTAGATAGCCTTCTTATGAGTCATAAGATGAGAGGATGTATCTGTTTTTTCTTCACTTCTTAACCATTTATTAAGAATTCTAGTATTGATTTTAATCTCGTAGATTTCAAACGTTTAATCCCCTCACACTAGCTCTTTCTAGATCACTCATTCTTTGTTCGTGTCTTTCTCTCTCATCCTTGCTCTGTGTCTGCCTCTCTCCTTCTGTGTCGCCATGCATGTCTATGTTTCTTAGTATTCATATATCCTTTTATTTCCTTTCCTTTACCTTGTAACAATCGTCCACTATACTTATCTATCTTTCTTCTGATAGCATCACCATTAATCATTAGTAACAGCATCAAAATAATAATAATGATCATAAACATCAACATTATCATCGCCATCATCATTATCATCGGCATCATCGTTATCATCCCCATCATCATTGTTATTACCACCACCACCATTATCATCACCATCACCATCACCACCATCATCATCATCACCATCATCACTATCATCATTACCATCACCATCATCACCATCATTAACATAATCACCACCACCACCACCATCATCATCATCATCACCACCACCACCACCATCATCACCACCACCACCATCACCACCATCATCATCACCACCACCATCATCATCATCACCATCATCATCACCACCACCACCACCACCATCACCATCACCACCACCACCACCATCATCACCACCACCACCACCACCACCACCATCAGCATCATCACCACCACCACCACCACCACCACCACCATCATCATAGTTACCTTATAGAACATGCTGAGTGTGCCTATATTAGCGCCATACATATAGTAGTAAAACTCAACGCAGTGAACTCCGGCACCCGGGTACATATGCGTCATGAGCCATGCTGTGGACCCTGGTGTTCGGTTATCTGCTTCTATATATGCGTAGTAACCTGTCAGATAAAAATTATATATTTAGTCAACCGCCACAGGACTATTGGTATTCATATATAGACATTATATCCTTTTTCTTGTATTTATAGTGTGTGTGCGTGTGTCTGCGTATGTATACATGTAAGCATATATGTAGCTACAAGGAAAATGCCGAAGTCCTCTGACAAAAGAAAAAATGTATTTTCAGCTTCAAAAGGCAAGAGGCATGGTCACAAATACAATACAAACAAATATAAGAAATACAGTAACAAATACGAAGTAGTAAATACAGAAACAAGAAACAAAAATCTAAACAACGACGTGAAACAAGGACAATATTGAAGCATTTCAAACAAAGAATGCAACTATGATATTACTATTTATGAATTGTCAGTCAATCAGTAGATTGATGATATAAAATACAATCAATACAATTAAATATTGGCATATCAGGTGCTTTCTATCCCCACCCCTTCTTTCTTTTCTCTCCCTCCCTTACTCTGTGTGTGTGTGTGTGTGTGTCTCTCTCTCTCTCTGTATTTACAGTCATAAACAAACGCACACTCTCACTGGGCCGACCAAAGACGTAAACTCATTGTCCCTGCTCGAGATGCCTACCAGTCATTGTGCCGGTGGTATGGTCTATGTATGGACCAGTGAGGCGGGTGGGCGTCTCTCCAAAACCAACCAACCAATCAAAATCATCATAGAGATCCTCCTGTAGATATCCGCATGCTGTCAGCCCATTCTCAAAGTCACAAAAGTTTTCTGCCAATAAAAGAAAAAGAAAAACAGAGGTCATCAGTATCAGCATCAGAAATGGTTGATCATCTAGCATATAAGTATTGGTGGGTACTGCAAGGTTCTCGAATCATCAAAATAATAAGAAATTTGGCCCAGTCTTGGTAAAGTTACACGCACTTTACACAGAAAGATGTATATGGGACTACACGATATCTATCCAGTACGGATAGATATAATTATTTACCAAAATATATCAATTAGTAGGCGATTTCCCGGCAGAATTTGTATCATTCTGTAAAAGTCAAAAACATATTATTTTACATGATTGGTAATAACAGCTTCCATTTCATTTTTCATTTTCTAAAACTGGTCTATACCTTTAAGACAACTCATACGCCCCTTGCACACGAGGCCTCATTTCAAACCAATTCACCTTTGCCCATCAAGGCTGGCGAGGCAATGATATCATTCATATGCCAAAATTCAAAGCAAAATTTGCACCATTCAAATTACGCTTACTTTATGTGTGACGTCACTCTTGCATGATGCGTCATGGAATGCGCTAGTCGCTGACGCAGGACTGTGTCAAGTAAATAATGTGTTTAACCAGGGAGGTGAAAGAAAGGAGTCGAAACTCTTGTAATTTATTCAAACGCATTCGTGAGTTCTAGAGAGTAACAAAAAGATGTGTAACATTTTACTTGGCTTTGAAGTTCCATGCTCCGAGCCGCGCTTCCACTGCGGGGAATTTTGGAGGCCAGGCACAAGTTTCACATTTATCACAAAATATTAAATTACCGGCAAAATTTCAGTGTAAATTATAAACTGGGGATTGTACTGGGAATAGTGCATCAAACATTTTTTTTCAAATTTAGGACTCCGCCCTTCCTATAATTTGTGTGCCAGAGTTGGTAAAAGAAAAATTAGATCCTGACAAAAACTCAAATTTGTAGGATAATGCGCTAATTTGTGCATGTTTTAATGTCCCGTTATGTAATCTATGATTTACAATCTTCAATAACTTTAAGTTTGCTAATGTGTGTTTTCGCGTGTTTTTTGTATTTTTGCAGATGGAAAAAAGGATGAAATTGCAAAAGTTTGTGTTCGCTTGTTCTACTATTTACACATTCAACAATGGATGAGAAATCATTGAAAGGGACAGCGAACAGTTGCATTGATAGTATTTTCTGATGAAGGAATTCTAAATTCTGAAATTTCACGCGCTCTTTTATCCCACCACCTCCACCACCTGGTCAACTGTTGCAGATTAGCGCATAACTTTTCGGCGACTTGGAGCATATGGGGTCAAAGGAGAGTGGCTTGATTCCAGTCCTTCTCTATCACGTCCCTGGTTTAACGGACACGAAGTGTGTTATACGAGAACTGCTCCAGAGTAAAGACCGAGTCAGCTAGTGATATCGTAAAAAGGTGAATGCGAAATGAACAGTTTAAACATTGTGAGGGGTTTGACCGGCATTGTCTCCACAAGCATAAAGGGAGTGTATCATGGGAATTACTGGTTGACGCCATCTACGTCTTCTTTTGGACAACTGCACGAAAACGAATGGACTTGATTAAATGGGTCAGCGCGCGCTAATATTCGCGAAACAGAACGAAGTTCTCCTCACGCTTCGGTTTCGCGTATGTTGCACGCATGTGAATATTGCGATCGCGTCATCCGTAGCTGTATTATATCCGATTGGCACCGAGTAGGGCCACGGGAAAGACACATAGTCTCGTCATGATACACTCCCTTTAAATAACACGGGTGAGAACGCAAAATATAATAACGCCTCGAGCGCAATGCGTATTGCATCTTACCTGCCTGACAAGGCTGGTTATCGACCTGTATATCATCAATAGCCATACCACACACAATGCGTATTGCGTATTGCATCTTACCTGCCTGACAAGGCTGGTTATCGACCTGTATATCATCAATAGCCATATCACACGTCACTCCACCGGTCATTATCCCTTCAAAGATTACCTGAAAACATTAGCCAATTAAATTCAATACATTTTATTCATTTCCATTTTCAATAAAAAACAATGCAAAGGTATATACAATGATAAGCATTTGCAATATATAAGAAAATGAAAATAGCGAACAAAAAAATAATGCCAAATGGCCTTGTGGAGGCATAGTTCCCCGAACAGTAGTTTATTAAGCATTTTGCTTTCTCCGTGTCCAACATGTGGTTTTGACGAGAAAAAGTACTCCATATAAAATATTTCAACAGCTTTGATAGGAAGCATTACACAAAAAAACTGTATAAATTGCAAGGAGTGTACGTCAGGATTTATCGTAATATGATGAAGAAGTTATTATCAATAAGGATAACGTTTTCCACAAACCCTAGCACTTCTCTCCGTTTACAAAGGGTGAAGGGGGTTCCGTTGTATTTGCCTGTATCATTAGAAACCAGTAGTCTACTAAACGTAACACATTTAGACGAGTCCCTGATCGAGGTAACTGAGTAGCTTAGGCGTCGTCTCGATAATTAGATCGTTTTTACAATTTTTTTTTATTTTTTAATTCAATTCAATTTATTTTCAATTTAAAAACAATTTACAAATAACATATACTTATTAATAATAGTGGCGGGATAATTAAAAGCACTAATTGGCTCATTGAACAAGTATACACGTAATATATTATACGTTGTAAGAAAATATCAACAATTATAACGGGAAAAACATAACAAAAAGATTGAATTAAAATGTAAAACAATTGATAAGGAAGAAAAGATAGGAAACATCAACAAAATATTCATAATTTATCTACTTCTATATCTAAAACAAATGAATTAATTCTTTACCTTCATGGGCTCGGTACTAGCGGCTAAGTTCATCTTGAATGGCTGCCATTTGTTTCCCTGTGTGCCTGACCTCGTCCACACTAGCCCGCCATCAGACGTGTTCACATTGAGTGTACCCATCTCACTCCCATGCATGTGATACCAGAAGGTAAGACATGAAGTGGTAGCAGGTGTGAACTCGCCACTGATCAGTCGGGTCGTGTCTCCACTCGACCGGAAGTCGCCCTCGGTGTACATGTACCAACCAGCATTGTCTAGCACGAGTACAAATCAACGTATTATGTAATATTATTACGTATTATCATTCCGATGACTCTGGGCATTGGTGCTAACACATTATTTTGTATACAGATGTCTTGATTCCATTGTGTTTTAAATTCTCTCCTCTAAATTACGTCTTTCTTTACTGGTACTCTTTTGTTATAAGTATGTCTATATTTTCTGTAAAATGTGGAACAATAAAAACTCAAAAACTTGAAAACGTGATATATTTACCCCCTATTCATGTTCAAGGTTAGGAAGTTGTCGTGCCCATGTAAACATCACGCTTAGCTATGTAATCACTTTATCTATTAAAGTATATAATTACTCTATATGATTAAGCTACAATTATGATCTTATCAGTGGTAAACAACCTCAGTTCAATATTTGAACTAACAGGTAGGCCTCTGTGAACTACAATGATACTATCATCTTTATCTTCCATACAAAATATCGTCTATACAGGATTGTTCTTGAATCCATGCATAACTTCACTTAAAGCCCGTCTACACTAGTTTATCCAGGAGGGATTAGATCTCCCTGCAAGGTCACTGACAGGTGGTTATCTCATCAAATCAGCTCTCAATTAACATAAGAAAAAGGAGATCATGGGGGACAAACGGTTATACATTGTTATAGAGGGCGCAAGTAGCTAAAAGTAGTGCAGTGGGGGTTTAAAGGGTGTACTTACAATTGTCATATTTTTAGATGGATGCCTTTGAAGAGCTATCGTTATAACCATCACAAATCTAAAGGTGGATCCCCCCCCCCCTACCTCCAGTTTTCAACAGCACTTTGCTTGATTAGGGCATATGTCATTTTCGCTGGTTGCACGTATCGTCATTAAGAAGTTACAGAACTGACTTGAAAATATGAAACATACTCCAGGAGGGTGTTTCACAAAGATCCTAAGTTGATCTTATCTCTAAGTTGGACTTAAACATTATGGAGAGCCATTTGCAGCCTTAAAATAAAATATATTCAAAAGTAAATATCCAAGTATTTTAGACTTTTCATAAATTCCACATCAAGAACATGTAAACTCCTTGAAAATAGAAACTATGAATAATTTGAAACAACATTTTTTGCCTTTTAAAATATTACTTCTACAAAATATTTTCAAAGATGCTAACGGCTTTCCATATTTTTTAAAGTCCAACTTAGAGCTAAAGGTAATACAAAGTTTTTAAAAAAAATTACAAATTGCGTGGATAGCACTTCTTTACAATTTTGATATATTTGGTTGCCCCTGTGGATGCATTATAAGCTCTAGAAAATTAAGCCCCAAAACAGTCCTGCTTTTATGAAAAGTTGAATATAGATATATACAGGTGCTTCCGGTAAATGTTGATAAATTTCACATAGCGTCTACGGCCGTACAACAGTAGCTGCGACCATAAAAATATTAGATATGTAGTTGGGATATAGAATTTTCAAACGGGAATACCCAATTGGTCGATTTTAGTCAAGAAACATTAGTTTATAGCTTAATTAATATCTTGACCCTGAGAGGGATCTATACAACATAACATGTTTATTATTTACAATTTCCTAATTTAGACTCGATTTCAACCGCGACAACGATCACTGAATATTAGAGGATCGCATATTCTTCCAATATGTTCATTTGAACCAAATTCCTGACCCCATACCAAAACTTTGTATTACCTTTAAGTTCGACTTAGGATCTTTGTGAAACACCCCCCCCCCCCCCCTGCTATAAATATAGGGATTCTTACCAATGGCACCTAGATGGGTGTGGTCGGTATCAGGACCAGTATCAGGGGTGTCTGTGTACCCTCTCTTCCTGATCCACTCAAAGTCACCTTCACTGTCATGGGTGTAGCTACATAACCCTCCCTCGAAATCACAGTTAGCCGGACCAGCGGGAATGACGACAGGTGGTGCGGTGCTAGGTGGGGCAGGGGTAGAGGGTAGAGGTGGACCAACCTCAGCACCGTATGGTATCACTGTGTAAGTAATCAAAAGAAATATAGATGTGATAGGCACTATTGATTTCCCGGCAATTTTAGCATGTACCTATACATTCAATCAAGGTTCAATTCAATAAAGGTTTATTTAAAACATGACTGGCAGTCAAACACTGAATTGTACATGCTTTCACAGTGCAGGTAAGATACAATGAAAGTATAAAATAACAACGTGAGATCAGAAAAATATAATTTAATATAATATGTAGGCCTACAAGCATAATTTAGAATTTGATTGGTGAAATTATAGTAAAATATATACGGAATTTAAAATGACTGATTGATATTGCCTCACTGTTAACAATAACTGAATATTGCATAGTTGTTAGGGCATTCATAATCTTGGGTTTGCATAGTCAACGTTTAACATATACCCGTGGGGTTGGGAAGAGCACTGTTTTGGAATCTCTTCGTTTCACAAGAAAATCCTTGATACTTATTGACGCTTAGGAATGAAAATGTAGCATGAAAAAGCATGAAACATAAATGTATTATTTTACAAACCTGGACATCCGTTGTCCTTGATTGCAATGTCATCTATTGCAAGACTGCCAGTAGAGGATGTCCCAACTTCGCCTTGGAAGATGACCTGCGGTAAAACCACAGAAAACAGGTAAAAAACAAGTAATTTTACTCGCATTAAGTCCTAATTAGTTTAAACGTAAATGATAATCCTTTAGGATCTATTTGTTACATAAGCATGTGGAATAATTTCTGATTGACCAGATATTAAAAATAGAGTGTTAATGGTCAAAACTATGAATCACACGAATATCGTTAATTTCCGCAAGAAAAAAAAACTTAATTGGTGGTATTTGTAAATCTATGGTCCAGCCAAGTGTGTACAATATTTATCCTTGAGGTGGATATATCACCAACACAGAGACAACATTTATCTTTATCTTTATCTTTTTTAATTTATACTGGGAATCTCGCTCAACAAGCCTAGCTTTTTAAAGGTTTCATTTTCTCCCCTCTCAGTTAAATCAAGCAAAAATATTTCGTCTTATTCTCAAACTTAAATGTACTATGTAACTTATTTTATTACATACATACTTATCAGTTTTTTCGTTACTTGTACAATGTATTTCTGCTATATATTGTAATACTATTTGGTTTATATATGTCATTTTAGTTTGTGGATATTTGAGAGGACAAATAAAAATAAATACAAGTCAAATCAAATCAAATCTAGATACCTACCCAGTAGTCCTTGTCCTGCGATACAGCCACTTGACCATAGTTCCACTTTGACCCTTGAGTACTGCCTACCAACCAGCGGTCACTATCACCATCCTCATTGGTCCGTTGAGTGACCAGGAGTGACCCCACATTGATCCCTTGGAGGAAGTACCAGAAGGTGACACATCGTCGTGTTCCAGGGTGCATGGTGGCCCGGGCTGAGGAGAGGCGGGTGATCATCCCGGGGCTCTCACCACCAACGTTCATGAAGATGTAGTGACCTGGGGGGCGTTTCACAAAACTTGTCATCAGTGACAAATTACAATTTTCGTTATAAGCTACTGAAATACTTGCTTCTGATTGGTTATCAGCAGATTTGTCACTGGCTTTTGTCATTTTTCATTGAAAAAAGGCTTTGTGAAACGCCCCTCTGGTGAGAAAATGGTGAAGGTTAGGAGAAAGTCAAAGCTTTAAGTCTATGTCTTACGCACCCCCCCCCCCCCCGTGCTTCTATAGTCTTACAATCTTCCTACCCGACACCCTTTCTCTCTGTCTTTCTGTGCCATAATCCTTTGCTGCTTTTGTTCGTGTCTTTATCCTCATCTCTGACAGTTTATGTCTCCCTCTCTCTTTATGTCTCTTCCTCACCTATTTTTTTTTCTCTCTCTCTCTCTCTTTCTCTCTCTCTCCATCATCTCTCTCTCTCTCTCTCAATCCTCTCTGTCTTACTCTATCTTTTGCTATCTCTCCCTCTCTTTCCCTTTTCTCTCTCTTTCTCTTTCTATCTCTCTTTCTTTATCTCACTCTCTCTCTCTTTCTATCTCTCTCTCTCTCACTCTCTCTCACACTCTCTCACTGGTATACACCTTACCTGCATCGTTGCCTAGAGTATGATCGATAGTCGGTCCGAGTGTGGTATCGCCTTGTTGTCTCACCCAGTCGAAATCATCTGTACCAGCTTCATTGGTCCATGTACACATATCACTCTCGAAGTTACAGTCTCCTAAAAAACATACAAATGATATACCGATGATTACACGGTGATGTTTCTTCTCCTCTTCCTCTTCTTCTTCTGCTTCTTATCCTTATATTTGCTTCTTCTGCTTCTCCTTCTTCTTCTCCTCGTTGCCTCTCGTCCTCTTTCTTTTTCTTCTTGTTGTTTTTCTTGTTTTTCTTTCTTCTTCTTCTTCTTCTTCTTCTTCTTCTTCTTCTTCTTCTTCTTCTCCTTCTTCTACTGCTCCTCCTCCTCATCTCCTCCTCATCCCCTCCTCCTCTTCCCTCCTCCCCAAGTCCTCTTCTTCTGCTCGTATATCGCTTTAATATAATCTTGGTTTCATGGATTACCATTTAGCGCTATCACTGAAGTAATAATGTATTATTGAATTGTAAATACATTATTTCATATAATATAAATAATTGATAATAATCACGGAATACAATATAGACATACACGTAATGTGTGGTAACAATAAATTTCAGATATACTGGTCTGGTTTTAGTGGATGCATGTCATTTATTAGTTCGGTTTGAAACAGAATATTACGATGTATATATTAAGAGAGAGAGAAAAAAAAGAAAGAGAGAGGGGGAGAGAAAGAAAGAGAGTGAAAGAAAGAGAAGAAGAAAAGAGAGAGAGAGAGAGATAGAAAGAAATAGAGAGAGAGAAAGAGAAAGATAGAGAAGAAAGAAAGATGGAGAAAGAAGGAGAGAAACAAAGAAATAGAGAGAGAGAAAGAAAATAAGAGAAAAAAAAGTAAGAGAGATAGAGAGAAAGAAAAGAAGAGAGAAAACAAAGTAAGAGAGAGAGATAGAGAGAAAGAAAATAAGAGAGAAAAAAAAGTAAGAGAGAGAGAGAGAAAAAAAAACAATTGGGAGAGAGTGAAAAAGGAGAGAGGCAGATAGGCAGATAGTGACACAAAGAGAGAAATATAGAGATTGCAAAGGAAAAGGGATTCAAAAGTTTAACAATTGTAATTGATACATTATTCAATACTCTTGAATACCTATTCACGTAGTCTGATTATCAGACCTTAGTACACTGACCTTGTTCCTGGCATGTATTATCCGATACGATCACATCATCGATAGCCATATCGGATGTATCTCGACCAATGATGCCTTCAAACACAATCTAAGGTGTCGGTAAAGAGATAAGCAAATATTAAAAACTAAATAACATCATATTATTGTGTAGCTTTTCTCAGTATTTAACTGTTAGCAATATACACTGTTGGTCATAATGGTGGAATAATTATTTTTACCCCAGTTTAGGGAAGGATTTTTAAAAATTATTTAGTTCTAATAGATCTAGATAATGGCATACATTCTCAGATTCTATTGAATATTAATTTGCGAGTGTTTGTTTTGCGTGACTGCTAAATCATCTGTGTGCTACTATGCTAATCAGCTAGGGAACCTACGTCCTTAAATCATAATTGACAGTAATGAGGATTAATGCCTCACAAAAGGGCACTAATATAGCTGATCGACACGATTTTTATCCTGGGGCCTCACAGTATTACGAGGCCATTGCTTAGCCCCTGAATCATGACTGTACGCAGTGTTTGCTAGGGTACGCGGCCCCTTCCACAAATCCCCCAAAACGAAGAAAATGCAATAAATTTTCAAAAATTCATTGCATTTTCCCCCGGCCCCCAACAGGAAAAATTCTTCTATGTGGCCATGCCTTGAACCATAATGCATGACCCTGCAGAAGAATTTTTCTTGTTGGGAGCCGGGGGAAAATGCAATGAATTTTTGAAAAATTATTGCATTTTTTTCGTTTTGGGGGATTTGTGGAAGGGGCCGCGTACCCTAGCAAACACTGCGTACAGTCATGATTCAGGGGCTAAGCAATGGCCTCGTTACTGTGAGGCCCCAGGATAAAAATCGTGTCGATTAGCTATATACTAGTGCCCTTTTGTGAGGCATTAATCCTCATTACTGTCAATTATGACTTAAGGACGTAGGTCCCTTAGCTGATTAGCATAGTAGCACACATATGATTAAGCAGTCACGCAAAACAAACACTCGCAAATTAGTATTCAATAAAATCTGAGAATGTATGCCATTATCTAGATCTATTAGAAATAAATAATTTTTACAAATCCTTCCCTAAACTGGGGTAAAAATAAATATTCCACCATTATGACCAACAGTGTAGTACAGTAAACGAACAATACAAACATTGGAAGACCAGGAACAAAATATTGTAACTGTAAATGTAAATAGCGAAGCGCAAAATATCAACAGGTACAATTTCCAATCAAACTTTAAACTTAAAAAGGGTTGGGGTTTGAGTTAGAGTTAGTACGTACAACTTGCAACTAAGTGGCATTGGATTTAAGACCGAGCTTAATAATATTGATCCCTACCAGCTGAACCAGGGAACCTCGTGGGCGTACTTGGAAGAAGACAAACCTGAGAAGAATAACAAATCTTCCCGCTACTGATGGGCTGTATTGTATTTCATATTCGGGTGTCTGCTTTAAAGCCCCTTTGTACTAGTTTAGCCAAGGTATATTATAGCGTGTCCACACACAAAACAAATTATCCCGAAACTCTATAACGAAACGTCCTATAAAGAATCATCGTATAAATTTCAGAGTGTCCACACACAAGAAATGTCGTATAAATAATCATCGTATAAATACCAGGATGTCCACACACAGAAGAAAGTAATCCTGAAACTCTACAGCGAAATGTCGTATAGGTGCGCAGTTTGCTACTGCGGTCATGAAATGGAAGTGGAAATGAGAGGTCTGGTCTCCTTTCGCTCGAGGTTACGTTAAGCCCCGCCCAGTTAGTTACACTAGTTACACTCCCCCTGTCCACACACAACATTTTCCGTGATTAGGCGTTATTAGGCGTGATTAGGCGTGATTCTTTATTGAGTTTCAGTTCGAAACGATGCCCAAACCTGCGTTTCGTTAGACTAGTTTCGTTATACGACGTATCGTTAGTGAGCGTCCACACACACAATTTTCATCGTAAAACTATCGCAAAACGGTATAGCTAATCACGCCTAATCACGGAAAATGTTGTGTGTGGACAGGGGGTAAGACCTCCCTGCAAGGTCACTGACAGGTGGTTATCTTATCAACTCAGCTCTCAACTAACATAATAAAAGGGGGATCATGGGGGACCAGCAGGCACCGTTTGGGCATTGTCTGCTATAATAGAGAGCGCAAGTAGCTATAACTAGCACAGTGGGGGCTTTATATACTAAACGCTAACCTGGAAATCTCCTATATCTGACGCGTCAGTCCTCGCCATGCTCCAGGTATTCCCTTGGTCACCTGACCTCGTCCATACAGGCACGGATGTAGTGACGTCACCTCCACTTGGGATCACGTAGACATTTAGCGTACCCATGCTATCACCCCACATGTGATATGAGAACTCGATACAGTGACCCCCCTGCGCAGGAAATGGAGTGGTCCATAGTTGCGCAGTGTCCCCATCTTGGTTCGGTGATGAGGATTCGATGTACATGTAATAACCTACACAGAAGAGATCAGGGGGGGGGGGGGGGCGTTCCACAAAACTTGTCATCAGTGACAAATGACAGTGTTTGTTACAAGCTATTGAAATCCTTGCTTCTAATCGGTTATCAGCAGACTTGGCACTGATTTTTGTCATTTGTCATTAAATACATGCTTTGTGAAACGCCCCCTACAATATGGCAAATGTGGTCTTTCTAAAGAAAACATGTCATATGCCGTATATTGTCATATTATTCTGCGTTATCATTTTCGTTTTCTTCATCTCCTCATGTTTGGTATATATTGAAACGTTGTCACAAGTTGATTTAATCTTATTTCAGTAGCATATCTAACATATTGAAAAAGTGTATTTTTGGCACAAAAAAAGTATTATCGATAATAAATGAAGTATGTATGCCCTCACCTTTGAAACAGAACTTAATTTTGTTAAAGTTGGAAATGGGAAGAAAAGGACACTCGATATAAGAAGGCATTAAATTGAGCATATCCGTACCTTCTTGAAATTGATATAATCTCTATCTATCTCTGTCTGTGAAATTGGTGTACATAATTAGTTAAAACTAATATAAAGTATTCCCTCACCTGCATCAGTCCCATATGTATGGTCATTCGATGGCCCGGTGTTAGCAGTATTTGTCTGACCTCTGACCCTGTACCAGTCAAGGTCATCGGTAACGTTCTGCTGCCAGTAACCACAGAGGTCAGGATTCTCAAAGTCACATTCAGACAAGGATGGGATAGTCGAAGGCGCTGGAGTGACTACAACTGGTTTGAAGAGAGTTTTTTTTTAGAAATATTAATATTTTATTTTTTTTCATTTTATTTAATTCTATTTCATTTTAGTTCATTCTATTTCATTTTATTTCATTTTTTGTTTTTTTTTATTAGTTTTAGTTTTATCTTGCTTTGCTTTGATTTGAATTGATGCTATAATAATAATTATAATGTAACTTATGGCGCCAACTACACTCTGTGGAGTGCTCAGGGCTCATGTAGAAATGATTAAGAATCGAACAGAAGCGTTTTTTCATGATTTTTAAAGGAGTCAGAGGTTATACAATTTTGATGTCTTCATGAAGGCTATTCCACAAGGTAGGACATGCGTGAGCAAAGGATCCCCCCCCCCCCCAAATAAATAGATGAATGATCAGTTATTTGATATTAGGTTTTTTAGGCGTTCGACAACTAGAAATGGTAACCCATAAAGAAATTATTTCGTTATTTAGTTTCATAAGAGTATCATGGTTTTAACAAAAGTTTGAATGTTTTTTTTTTTTTAACTCCACATAGTATTGATTACTGAGATTTATTGGAGAAAGTTATAAAGAGTCCACATCGCTGCTCGCCTCATAATCGATCGATTATGATGCCTATCGTTGCCCGAACCGTGATAGCCTCAGAATACTTCCAAGGTCCTAATTTATATAAAAATTAAATATTATTATTATTATCATTATTTGTTAGGACGTGCTTTTAATTTAATTCTTAAAAATTATATTGTTATTTCAGAACTGTCTGATATAGGATTTTAACGTTTTGCCGTATATCAATCATAGCTATTTGAAACTGATAATTGCTTAAATATGACACCAGTTGTTTGTTTTCAATATCAGTGAGGAACATGGGGGTCCTGCTACAGCACACTCATTCAGAACATGCTCAACAGTCTGAATTTGACCACCTGGACACAGGTCAGAGTCTCTGAGACCCAAAAGATCAATGCATGATAACTATATTAGGAGGGGGGGGGGTGATATAAAATGCTGTACAAGTAAGTTATGTTTAAATAATAATAATAATATTGGATTCTTATATAGCGCACGTATCGACCTTGCAAGGTCCTCAAGGCGCTCTAACATTACCCGGCTATGCTAGGCTGCCGATTTCGACGCTCACAACATTTCAAGAAATTCCTTCCTACCGGTACCCATTTAACACCTGGGTGGAGAGTGGCAAATGTAGATCAATGTCTTGCCAAAGGACATTGGTGCCGCGGCGGGACTCGAACCGCGGACCTTGTGATCGACAGTCCGGCGACGTATCAAGTCATCGAACATTGTTACGTTCTGAACTTCGCTTCCGATTTATTCTAAACTCATCAACAACATCATGTCTGGCAGAGGAAAGAGTGGAAAGGCCCGCACCAAGGCAAAGGCGCGCTCATCCCGTGCAGGCTCCAGTTTCCAGTGGGACGTGTTCATCGGTTTCTCCGAAAGGGCAACTATGCGAAGAGGGTCGGCGGTGGAGCTCCTGTCTACATGGCTGCCGTCCTAGAGTACCTCACTGCCGAAATCTTGGAACTCGCAGGCAACGCTGCCCGCGACAACAAGAAATCTAGGATCATCCCACGCCACCTTCAACTCGCTGTGCGTAATGATGAAGAACTCAACAAGCTTTTGGGTGGGGTGACGATTGCTCAAGGTGGTGTTCTGCCCAACATCCAAGCCGTGCTGCTCCCCAAGAAAACCGCTAAATCAAGCTAGAGTTTGCTCCCGGCAATCTTGAAACCTCAACGGCCCTTATCAGGGCCAAAAAAAAAAAAAAAAAAAAAAAAAAGTATCCACTCATCCACGAAACCTCTATGAAGTTATTTCCTCCGAACTTATTATTTTATTTTACTAAATTCAACCTTATACTTACTTTCCGAGCAGAATCCGTTTGATATACTGACGTCATCAATAGCTGTATCGCCATAGTCAGTTTTGTCCAGATAAGCCTCTATTGTGATAATAAACGGATCTGAATCGGGTCGAGTTATATCAATCTAGAGAAAGAAAATTATAAATATAAAATTAGCATTTTTAAAACTATCCCAACCATCCTAGCGCTGCATATTAATATCTGAATACATGAATATTTGCGTTGGTACGGTGTGGTGGAGATCACAATTAAACAAATCGGCCAGATTCTAGACTAACCATTATTGTCACAATAATTAAGGACTATATTAGTTACGACCTGGGTAGTCATTCGTTTACAGTAAGCCTCCCGATTTTCTCTCAATGTCATTTATTTATGTAGTAAACGTAGCTTTGCAGTTGTAATTTTTGTATGAAATGTCATTACTAGTATTTGATCAATTATCGCATCAGATTCTGTGTGCGTGCGTATCATGAATATTTATGTCTAGCAAATGACGTATAAGTTCCTATTGAGCCAATAAAATCCAGCGGTAGGATGGCTTGGTTAGGTTGAAATAAAAGACGCGTGCGGGACAGACGTTCAGCACAGGACAACCTATCAAATCGAGAGGGGAGTGGGGAAGGGGGAGGGGGGTTGGGGATAAGTCAAGGAGAACGCAGGAGACATGTCTATGCATATAGACAGGCAAACACGAGAAGATACGCCACCCACACCCACCCACACAAACACGCGCACACGCTCACGCATACGCACACTAAAACATTCTTACTTTTATAGAAATAGATGTGTAATCAAAGTCAAGGGGTTTGCAACATCAAGTAAGATACATATTTAAGATAAAGTTGAGTACTGGTCATGCGATTGCATTGTGAAAGAAAAGAGGTGGAATGGATCAGAAAAAGTTGATCATGTAGAATGTTAGTATTGGTGTGTACTGCAAGGTTCTGAAGATTTCAAAATCATAATAATTTGGCCCAGTCTTGGAAAAAAAGCACTTTACAAAGAAAGATGTATATGGGACTACACAAATGGTGTGGGGCTACCTATCTTTATATGCTCATTGCTCAGCCAGTATAAATTTTCGATTCAAACCCTCGACCTTCGCATCTCCAGTCAAGTGCCTTAAACCACTCGACCACCACCCTCCCACTAAGAAACAGCACTTCACTTCACTTCTTCAAGAAAACATCTGAAAAACCTATCTCCACAATCCTGCATTTATCTCTAGACTAAAGGACTTCGCGTCGTATCTCCTGAAACAGGTGTTATATCAATAAACAATTGTTATCATTATATCTTATACATGTTTACACAGTAATGATATTACATATGTGTATATTTAACCATGTCAAACCATGCTTCACTCGAGATTATCCACCGTGATGTTCTGAACTGTACACTGCATATTTTAATGAAGCACCTTGTCAGAAATATGTTCTTCTCAGTATTCTGATATATTAATATCTGAATATGATTATATACATAACATTAAAGCAGTTATACCAAACAAAGTGCCGATTGATGAGCAATTTATAGGATTTAGATTCTTGGTTAATGGAACTAGAAAAAAAGGGGGATGGCAATCACAAAAGACAAGGTAGTGCCTCTCTGCTCTAAAAAATAATGACATGTTAAAGAACGCATATGTATGTGTAAACAGTCACGCATTATAACAACTTTTGCTAAATACAATAAAAACTGACCAAACATGATGAATTTGCAATTTTAGGACTACAACAAAATAACTTCAATTTTGTATTTCTATTCAGTCCCGTGACAAGCTGTACGTTGGTCGCCAAACACTTAGTCCTTCACCAGAATCTCAACTACTAAGCAGACTCCTTAAAGAATGCATGGTCAAAGCAATGTCAATATTAAACAACACAAATAATATAATATGGAATATATCAAGCCATTGTTTGTTTCCCATATTTGTGCGTTTTTTTCTCTTTGTTTGTCATTACAGGAACTTTGAACTTGTATCATACAGATCTATTGTTCGACTCCAAGTTTGTTAAAAGCAAAGAGAAGAACTGTGATTAAACACTGACAGAAGCCCACATAATCGGTCTTAATGGCCATTCAAAATGGTACATTTGCGATCTAGAATTTGTTTTCCTAGTTTGCCCATTATCATTAGATTGAATAATTGTGTAAAACAAACAAGTCAGATAAATATTGATTTTAAAGAGCGGGCTTTGATTTGTTTAAACTAGGAAACAGAATTAGTGTAGGAATTAAAAAGGAAATTCTATAACAATAACTTATGTCATCACAAAGATAAAGCCAGTTCACGGTTGCAGTCTGAGCATGAGCAGATAAAGGTCATTGCAGAACAAATTTTGAAATACACGGAGACGAAAAACTGGATACGTACTCATGAAAGTTATGCAATCATTATTCATTCATGCACATTCAGTGCACTTCATGATACACAGGTGGACGCATTCTTTGTAAAGGGGAAACATAGGCTATTTATATAGCACCTCCATCGCTGTAGGCCGGAGTGATTATTTCAAAATGTACAAAGTGGGGCCTCTTCATGTTTTGAAGATCTGTGGATATTCGGGGTCATTGCAGTAATGTGCTAACCGTGAACTGGTCTATTCTTGCAACTGTTGTAAACCACTGCCTATGTAAAGTGTGTTTCTCCTGTGTTAATGGTGCTATATTCCATTTGCATGCTAACAAATGAAAAGGTTAAATTTCACCAGCATTTGAAAAACAATATTAATTTAGAACTTCCCTCAAAACGAAAAGGCTTGAAAATGGAAAAGAACGACCGTTATTTGTAGAATCGATTTAAGGGTTTGCAATACTTTTAGTAATTAATCTGGTGTAAGTTTTTTGTTTGTTGCTGCGCATAGATTCAATTAGTATAATTTTGGCCATTACAAGAAGTGGGTAATTTGATGTAGACAAGTGCTCATGTAGGGCTATCTTTACAGCTCAAGTTATATTATTACCAAAGAAAAAATAAAGTCAGTCAGTCACTTAACAGTGTCTGACAGTGAAGTCTAGAAAGTAAACGGGTTTCCTTGCATAATTTGAATACTAGGACACTGCTAACGTTTATATTTATATTAGAAAATAGGACATAGTTGCGTGACATATTCATAACTCCTGCAAAGTTCTACAGAATTTGATGTTGGCTGCAAATGGGACACAATATTATTAAAACCTATAGGAATGGGATAATTCAGTTGACAATGGATTAATGGATTATATATAACACGGTCACCAAATATGTTGCGATGTGGAATGGTTTGTGTGTGTGCCTGTGTGTACGTGTGCGTGTGTGTGCGCGTATGTGTGTGTGTGTGTAGTGTGCATGTTTGATTTGGGATAGATTATCATCAATAGGGTTACGTGGAAGTATGTCAAGAAGCCTTTCTAGTATTACGACGTTCCTAATTTTGTTCTTTAATTGTTTGTACTTTGGCATCTGTACGTGATTTTCACAACGTACTTTAGAATATCTACAGCTCGTTAAAGTTGACCTGGGTGGACAAACGATGCGTTATATATATACTTCGTGTACATACTTGGAAGCAGGCGCGTACGCAGGGGGGGGGGGGGGTGTTTGGGGGTTTAACCCCCCTAACCCCCCCCCCTCCCTTTGTTGATTTTTTTGGTATTTTTTTTGGTATTTTTTAATAATAATTAAAAAAATATATAAAAAATATTCCCATGGCTGACCTAAAAAGGTGATCTTACCCTTCTCCCCCCAACGGAGCAAAATGTCAAATTTTCAAATTTCGAGACACAAATTTAAAAAAAAATGTCCTCTTACCCCCCCCCCCCCCCCCCCCCGCTTATTCAGCGGCTGGCTGAGTTTTTCAGCCCGATTTAAAAATGTTAACCCCCCCCCCCCCCCCCCCCCCCTTGAAAAAAATCCTGCGTACGCGCCTGCTTGGAAGAAGAAAACCCGGGGCGAAATGACAAATGTTCTCGATACTGATGGGATATTGCATTTCATTTTCGGGGTGTCTGTTTTAAAGGCCCCTCTGTACTAATTTAGCCAAGGTGTATTAGACCTCCCTGTAAGGTCACTGACAGGTATTTATCTCATCAACTCAGCTCTCAAATAAAATAAGAAAAAGAGGATCATGGGGGACCAATGGTCATCAATTATGCATTGTTTGCTATATAGAGGGCGCAAGAAGCTACAAGTAGTGCAGTGGGTCTTTAAGACTTACTCGTCCAAGATTCCATTGATTCCCCTGATCACCGGAACGTATCCAGGTCTCATTCCCCACGGGTAACTCCCCGGCAGCTTTGGCCACGTACACCCTCAGCTCCCCGGTGTCTTTTCCATACATGTGGTAGAAGAACTCGAAACATGTAGTCCCGCCGGCTTGGACCTGGTCCTGAGGACTGATTAGACGGATCGATTGATACTTGATGAACGGGTCGCTGGACTCCACGTAGAGGTATTGGCCGTCTAAAACAAATAAAAAGTTGGAAAAAAGACAATCAAAGAACTGATTCCAGCTTGGTAAATGGTTCACTCGAATTTACATATGGGGTACGTGGTTAGATTAGCAAGTGTGCGCTTTTAAACATGACGCCTGGCTGGAATGCTCCCCAGGGAGTGGCGAACGTGCATGCATTGTGTGCGGGTAAGCCTGAATCCGATGACCGGGGTAATAATAATATATCTGTAAAGCGCTTGTAGAGGGCCTTGGGTCCTGAAAAGCGCTATTATGACTAACCATCTACAGAAATATAAAGTGAAATGATATAATCTTATAGATTGATTTCCGTTGAAATATTCTGGACCTGATTGAAGTGAAAAACTTAGTGATTTTCACAAAAAAGTCGAATCGTTTCTTTTTTGTGTACACACTAAGAAAAAATGGTGCAAGTATGCACCTTTAGGGGTGCAAACCGATGCAACAATAGCAGCACCTTTAGGGGTTAAATCATGCACCCTTTTTAAAGGTGCAATCCTGCACCCTTTAAAAGGGTGCCAGATTGAACATTTTAGGGGAAATAGTACCCTTTATGGTTTATTCCTGCATATTTAGGGGTTCAATCCTACACCCTTTAAGAGGGTGCTAGATTGCACCTTTTAGGAGACATGTTAGTACCCTTAATGGTTCAATCCGGCTCCATTAGGGGTGCAAACCGATGCAATAACAACAGGGGTTCAATCCTGCACCCTTTAAAAGGTGCAATCTTGCACCTATCATCGAGGAATACTGGCAAAATGTGCTCGTACACAAATACATATTAAACATGCATGATGTTTCTTGGTTAGTAATCATATAATCAATATATCTATTGCTAAAACGTGAATGTAATTGTAACATGGTCAGACAAAATAATCTATTGGTTATTGATTGCCAAAGGAAAATACAAATCACAAAATTGATGTGCATTGTCATAATTTGCTTAACAAATCATGATAAATGTATTTGTATGTGACCACGTGGAAAGTAATCATGAATATGCATGTATATGCAAACTTTTATTTTGCATACTTTTTTGGTCGATAGGGTTCATTTTTGTGGGAAGGGTGCAAAATCTTATATCGCACCTTTTTTTGAACCCCTTTTCCTTCAATAGGGTTCATTTTTATGTAAAGGGTGCAAACTCTTATTTTGCACCCTTTTTTCTTAGAGTGTAATGTTCTGTTAGAATGCAAAAAGTGTTTTTGGAAACGTCGTATAGTTCCCCTTTTTGATATAACATGACGAAGAGAGTATTCACAACACTTCATAATAATGGTATAGACTATATTTTGATCGTTTAAAGACTTGAGTAAGCGTTACGAAATGACCTCTCCAAAGAAGTATTTATTTTGAATAAAACATAGATTAATATCATCATTTTGGGTTCTCCATTAACTTTCTTCAAATTTATGAAAATGATTTATTTTTTAAGTTCGTTACGGAATTACATAAAATGTGAAATACACACAGTTTCATTGTATTAATTTGTTTTGGTAATCTATTTGTGTAAATGCTAAGGGTCCATTGAATACCAGGGGGTCCGTTTTATGCTACGGTCACAAAGGTTCGTACGAACGATACTTTCGTACGAATCTCCCTGTTTTTCCATTGTCTTCCCGAATTTCCATTGTCTGAAAATCGTTCGTACGGCGTTCGTAGCAGTTCGTAATGGCATTTGTGACCGAGGCCAAGAGATATATATCAATAATAAAATGTAAAGTTATGCTACGGTCACAAAGGTTCGTACGAACGATACTTTCGTACGAATCTCCCTGTTTTTCCATTGTCTTCCCGAATTTCCATTGTCTGAAAATCGTTCGTACGGCGTTCGTAGCAGTTCGTAATGGCATTTGTGACCGAGGCCAAGAGATATATATCAATAATAAAATGTAAAGTTATGCTACGGTCACAAAGGTTCGTACGAACGATACTTTCGTACGAATCTCCCTGTTTTTCCATTGTCTTCCCGAATTTCCATTGTCTGAAAATCGTTCGTACGGCGTTCGTAGCAGTTCGTAATGGCATTTGTGACCGAGGCCAAGAGATATATATCAATAAGAAAATGTAAAGTTATGCTACGGTCACAAAGGTTTGTACGAACGATACTTTCGTACGAATCTCCCTGTTTTTCCATTGTCTTCCCGAATTGCCATTGTCTGAAAATCGTTCGTACGGCGTTCGTAGCAGTTCGTAATGGCATTTGTGAAGGCTTTACAAAGAGTTGCGATTGATCCAAATAAATTGCAAGTCCTTTTATTATTCGCAAGTTTGCAATCTCCTATCACTTATGTACATATTTGCGATTGATATCAATCGCAAATAAGTTGCGATTGATATCAACTCTTTGTCATACAGGGCCCATGTCATCCTCTTCAGTTATGAGTGATACATACATGAATAAATAAAAGGTTATCTTTTGTCATTCCTTAAACAAAGCGATTTAGATTGCAACATCATATACATTTGATGAATGGGACTAGAAAACTCATACTAAGGTGTAAATTGGTATGGAATCTTGATGTTCCATATTATCATAATTTTTTTCTTCAAATATCTATATATATTTATCGGGACTATATCTACATGAGGCGCTAGTTCAGAAGTCTATCCAAACTTTGACCCGTAACTCCGGCGTGGAGATACCCTACTAAAACATACCCAAAATGAAGTAAATATTCATCAAATATCCAAATAAAGGCCATATTTTAAAAGTCGATATGTTTGTTACCTGTTTCGTGTGATTTTTAAAAAAATCTTTTTCGGAGTATTTTTCCTAAAAACAAAGACTTATAATATGCACTTTCTCACGGGATTCACGGCAAATTGAAGCCCAATACAATTACATACCGTACCAACGGTGGGGTGTGGGCGCGCGTGTATCAGTTAGCGACCGTAAAATAAGATTACAGTCGCTACGCCGAAGTTACGGGTCAAATTTCGGATAGATTTCTGAACTAGCGCCTTACATTTTCTCCATAGAACATAATAAAAGAAAGCGGTTCTTTTTGGTTTACGATGCAAATTGTTGCGGAATGTATAGATCTAGCTGGTATTAAGGCCTAATATTCAAAATCTCGACACGACTAATATTATTTCGTTTTCTATTTGTTAAAAATATTCTTTTCCTTGTATAAGTAAAGAAACATGACGAGGATAATAATAATAATAATAATATTGATTATTAATAGCGCACAATCATATCCACACTGCAAGGTGCGCAAGGCGCTCAAATATTACCCCGGCTCTGCTAGGCTACCGATTCCGGTGCTCACAGCATTCAAGCAATTTCTTCCTACCGGTACCCATTTCACACCTGGGTGGAGAGTGGTAAAATCTAGATTAATGTCTTGCCAAAGGACATAGGTGCTGCGGTGGGACTCGAACCGCGGACCCTGTGATCTACTGTCCGACGATTACTACTACCACTACTTATGCTACTACTATTTATGCTACTACTTCTATCACTACTACGACTACTACTACATCTACTTCAACAATAAATACCACTACTACTACTACTACTACTACTACTACTACTACAACAACTGCTACTGCCAATCCTAATACTACTGCTTCTACTGCTAATAATACTTACACTTCGACTACTAGTAGTAAAATAATAGGCTACTAGTAGTAAAATGTACCCCTCCACTATGATAATATGTTCTTGGATAGCGATATAATGAATCTATAATAAGTGCGCTTCCAAATATCTTTTTAATTTTGTTATCCCGACTTTAACACCGGCTTCCATAGTGCTCAGTGCATTAAGGAACTAATCCTACCAGGAGGTACCCATTTACTACACCTGGGTCGGGTGTGGCAAATGTAGAATAATATCTAGCCAAAGAACATTAACCTTGCGGTAGGGATCTGAAGCCATTCACAATCTGGTAACTTTTGCACTAAACCACAAAACCTCTACAATTTGACTACCAACATATAGGAATCAACCTAAGTGTCTAATTTTTTTGTTATTTTATTTTATTTTATTTTTTATTTATTATCATTATTATTTTATTTTTTTTATTTATTTATTTATTTATTATTATTTATTTTTTTTATTTATTATTATTTTTTTTTTGGGGGGGGGGCAAATATGCCCCCCCCCCCCCTCAGGAGGCGCGATAGCTCAGTCGGTAGAGCAGTGGTCTCGCAATCCGGTCACCCGGGTTCGAAACCGAGGCGATGCGCTAGTGCCCTTTGGCCGTAAGGCATTAATCCTCATCACCGGGTCCCTCGGAGAGGACATAAAGCCTTCGGCCGTCCGGTTGCTTATTTACAAGCATGTATACTTTCTTAGCAGTCCAGTAAACTAACCACCACCATGGAAGACCATGGAAGACCAGCATCAACAATAAAGTTGCAGCTGAAAATGGGCTACCAGCCGTATACGGTCCCCTTTTCTCTGTATGATTACTTTATATGTATTTGTATCTGATTTTATTATACGGAAGTAAAAAAAAAAAAAAACAATAAGTATGTATGATTAAAATAATTCTGACCACGCCTCTTTCTTACCTCCCGATGTATGGTCCCCTGAAGGTCCAGTGCCACCTGTTGTCGTGGGACCAGACTGTATCGTCCAGTCCTTATAGTCTGAAGCATCTTGAGTCCAACTACATAAACCGTTGTCAAAGGAACAGTCAAACTGGGCCAGCACTGTCAATGAGAAATGCATACAAACACAAAAAAATCGGAAAGACTTTCGAAAAATGAGTTTAGAGACAGTTATACTGCCGATGGAACATAGTATGATTATATCATGATGTACCCGTGGCCAAATGAGACTAAATCAATTTCTGAGAAATGATGTTGACTCGCGAAAAACACTACAGCAAATCCCCCTTTTATTCATTCTTTTGTCAATTGGTTTGTTTGTTAATTTGTTTGTGTTGTTTTGTTTCGGTTGAATGTTTGTTTTTTTGTTATCAATTGAAAATGAAAGTGACAAAATAATAACGTGGGGTTAATGCAAAGGAGGTATTCCCTGGAGGGAATAAGAGACACAGAGCCATCTCCTTTCCGATTTCTTTTTTGTCAAGTACCCCCAAAGTGCTCGTTCGTACTAAAGAGAATGACTTTTTTTTTTTACATAGGAAATATGTGCCTTCTTATTTCTAATGAAATACCTCTTTCATCTTGTTATACGTGTCTCTCTTACTTTGACAAGTGTCACTTTCCCTTGAGCCCTTTCCACTCTTTCAAGTGCCCCTTTCTTTTTTCTACAAAGTGCCCCTTACTTCTAATAAGTGCCCTTTTTTACCCCTCGAAAAATGCCAATTTTACTTTATAAAGTGTACCTTTCTCTCTGATGAGTACCCTACCTCTCCGTTTAGTGCCCATTTTTTCTTTTTAATAGTGTCCCTTTCCCAATTTGTACATGTGGCCGAATTTACCTATGTCCCTTTTTCTTGTTCCTTTCCTCCTTGTCTTAAATTCCCTTTTTAACCCTGAGAAGTGCCCATTTTTAAATATAATGAGTCACTTTGATAAGTGTCTCCCCAAAAACAGATTTTTTTATAGCCTCCTTCACATGAAACCCTAATTAAAAGAATCTGGTAGCAATAATTATTGTTCTCAAATTTCCGCCTAGCTCGTTCGTTATTCTCGCTAGCAATTATACTTTATCTCATTATAAAACCACGAACGTCTTATACATTTGTTTATTATAAACATGCTTTAAAACATTATAACTATTCATTTATCTAGTGAGCCCAACCGGTCGCAGTGGGCTCTCTCAAGTTTATTTTTAAAACACGCTCGCTCGCTCGCTTTGCTCACTTGCAAATGACCCACGGACCCTTTCATACAACAACAGAGAATGATTTGACTACTCCGGCCAGGAGGGATGAGATCTCGTTACAAAGTCACTGACAGGTTGTTATCTCATCAAATCAGCTCTTAATTAACATAAGAAAAAGGGGATCATGGGGGACCAATGGTCACCGATTAGGCATTGTTTAGGCATTGAAATAATTTAACGTTGTAAAGCAATAGTAATTCGTGATATCAAGAATTGAATTCTTGATATCAAGAAAAATGTTTTAATGATAAAACGGCTTGCCATAAGCTCGCGCCAGCTCGCCGCAAATCGAGGCTCCAACTCGGCTAAGTGGGAGCCCGGATTTAAGTAGTTCCGTGTGGCTTTAACTAAGACACATACATAGGTATGGGGAGAAACAATAAATTCTTAAAGATGATAATGGATTAATTAGAAGGGAGGAATATAAAAATAATGTCTCCAAAAATTGTGTTGTTTAGCTTCGAGGTTATGTTTTGTATGTGCCCCATTTCTCCTTTAAAAAAGTATATTGAAGAGGATCCTTGATAATGTGTTAATTACAATAAAGAGACATTGTTTTTTTTCTTCTTCTCGTTTTGAGGCTATTCGAAGATTGTAGGTGCCCATTTTACCCTAGAAAGTGCCTTTTCTGTTAACACACCTCCCCCATACACACACATACACACACACACACACACACACTTTGAAAGATGCCCCGCCGCCTCCTGGAAAGTGTGGTTGATTCACATGGCTACAAACAAACATACAAATAGTTCTTGTGAAAAAGCTTTCGCTTGCAATTTGTTTTCTTTCTTTACTTTCTTTCCACTTTTTATTCAGATACTTTCTAAACAAAATCGTTTTACGTGACACTCTATTCTCCTACATACTCCAATAACAGCGTCATGTACACACCCTCCCCTTCCCGGCTGCTATCGACTCAAGCATTCGTGCTAATGATAGTAGGCCTCTGTATTTATCTTGATCTTTTTTCTTTTTTTTTTTTTTTACTAACCTCCATACTTTCAAGTTTTCAACGATATAGGCATTGTTATGTGTGTGTATTTCAGCTGTCACTTTTTATGTCAATCAATTATATTATATACTATGAATTATTGTTATTTTAATGTTTTGTATTTAATTTTTATCAAGAAATGCAGAAACTAGTTGACACTTTTTATGTAAATCAATTATATTATATATTATTATTGTTACTTGAATGTTTTGTATTTGATTTTTCAAAAAATGTAGAAACATCTGCCCCCACTTATATATATATATATATATATATATATATATATCAGAGATAATAAAGATAAGTGTATCTTACCATCTGTTATTGAGAATACAATCACCAACAGGAGAAACAACTCTCTCCTCCTTCCAAATCTCGCCATGCTTTCCTAGAAATACAAATCTATTCGATCTGATCCATTTGGAACACCAGACGTCTACACCAAACCGACTCGTATCACTGTCCCCTGTCAAATTGGAGGGTGACCAAAACTGGATGTGCGCCTAATGAAATTTGGTAATATTTAATGAAGCAAAGAGCATGGCTTTCGAGGTCAAAGCTGCAGAAGGGATCATAGTCTATATGTATCTTCAGGTCCCCTACAAAGCCATTTACAAGGTTGATGTGTATACCTTTCATACACGTGACTTTATGATTATGATACAGACTGTTTGCTTTCATCGATTTACAAATTTAAATCACCTTTCAGGGATTTTAAAGCCCTCAAAAAACTTACCTTAAAGTAGATCTGCAGCGTCTGCCGTTTCCTCTCTATGAGTAAAATTGAAGCCCTCATTGTGTACGCAACAAAATGGGATGGATAAAACACCTAGAGTTGCAAAATTCAAATATGGAAACAAAGAGATCTTTAAGTTTGCAAAAATTGATGTTTGCTATTATATTTTAGGAAAGTTTTCAATTATGAGTTTTACAACATTTTGGCTCCTATTAAAAGTTTTGAGATTTCTACCGTGCAAAATCTCTGCAACGCCCTTTGAGAATCAACTTGATTAAAGTTGGCATATTTACCGCTTCAGCGTTAGCTAGAAATTGACCCCGGAGCGATTGGCTACAGAGTGTGAGTCAAACAACCCCTCCCCCCTTCATCTCACTCCCCATCAATGCTCCTAGTCGAACCAAGCAATCATATACATTATTATGTATTTCCTTGTTTTGACATTGATTCTTTTTGTTGTTGAAAGAATTTCCATTTTCGGTTTAATAAAATTTGGAGTGGACTAAAAGATGATTATTAATATTATTATTATACTTTTATGTTTTTTTATTAACTCGCGGGACAAAGATCATCCACAAAAAAATGATAAAACATCACAATAGTTGTGACTTGTGGAATTTACACTGAGAGAAACGGGGTCGCTAAGTGCTCTCTTCGTCGGCTTGCCCGCAAGAAGGTCGTAACTGCCATTGACAATTCAAAACCTGTACGACCTTTTAGCGGACAACGGATGATTCTTTGTAAAATCTTACCGCAAAGACTAAGCAGCTCTTTGCTTACCACATACAAATTAATGGTAACATAATTTGTGCATAACATGGAGTGTTTGGTACCAAAGTTAATAAATATTCTTTAATAAAATCAACCCTGTCGTTGTGAGTCCACGTATTTTCTCAATTTATCACTAACCCGTTGGCTACTGAATTATCTAATTTCCCATTGGCTTAACACAGGGAACAACAGGTTCCAGTAAGCTATGAGTTAAGAGTATTATGGTTCAAGAGACAATATTGACAATGTCAAAACTTAAATCAACTTGCTGAAGATAAAGCTCTCTTTGTGGAAAAACAGACAAACAAAACAGGAATATTTGAAATATATTTAGCATGCAAATAAAAAAGACTTGCTTGAATATTTTTTTTATGATACGATCTTTTTTCTTTTAAGGGGGCGTCACTGCTATGCGAGTTGTCCCGTTGACTACAGAATTAGTCCATTCATATAGGCTTAAAGATGAAGTTGAGGTCTAGTTATGCGATTGCATTGTGAAAGAAACGTTGTGGAACCCCGCCCCCCCCCCCCCACTCAGTGTTATTTAGGGTACGCATATGCTCGTACCCTTTTTTTTGAAAGCACCCCCTATCTGAGGACTGCCAACATTTCCGAACCCCCCTTTCGCGGGCTTTTTGCGGGCTTTTCCTGCCTTGGAGACCCCCCTAAATCAGGAAAAATGCTCAATGTACCCCCCTAAATTCGGAATAATTTCTCAGGAGTCCAAAGAGATGAGAGAAAAAAAGAAAAACACCCCCTTTTTAAAGAAATCTCCGGGTGAAAAGTCAAATACACCCCCTTTTTTTTTTTTACAATTCTCGGGCCGGACTTTGTCGCACGAAAAGTACTCCTTTACCGGACATTTTGGCAACACGCATGCGGTCATTCCGACCTCTGAGTGAGGGGGGGGGGGGGGGGGGGGGGGTGTGGAATCGAACAGAAAAGTTGATCATCTAGCATATAGGTATTGGTGTGTACTGCAAGGTTCAGGAATCACCTCTGCCCTACATTTAAAGCTGTTCAAAACATATTTACTCAGATCAGAAAGGAATTCATAATGATATATCGGGGTTAACAAAGAGAATGCTGGCGTATTGTCTACAGGTCAATGTTTACAGCTCCACTATGTAAATAGGTCTAGTATAAGTAACAACACTTTTTTGCGTTGACTTTTCCGCTGAAGGCTTTTCTTGTTCCTTCATGCTCGTTGCACACTAGTGTGGTAGTGATTTAAAGACCTTGACCGGAGCAGAGCATTATATAGACAAATTATATACCTACGGACTCGTGAATATTTACTGAATATGAAAATGCAAACTTCTCGAGATTCCACGGCCTCTGAAAGAAGTATTTAGCATCCGAACCCCAGGATTCACGGATTTGAGAGGGGCACCTCGGAGATATAGTTTCGGCTGCACTAGCCGGTGGCCGTTTCTACCCGTTTCTGATGACGTCATAACGTGTAGGTTATTTGGCCACTCGGTATTGCAGCTGGTTCTTCGCATGGTGGTCGGTATGTGAAGTTTTCTTCTCTCTTTTTTTGTTGTTGTAAATATCAATGTCGAAGCTGTATTTGGATATTTTACGATTAGAATGTTGACATTTTATATCTGTATTAATTTCACGCTACGTAATATGGAATATCAACCCCAAATTTCCACTAAATTAGATTGAAACGAATCATTTGCCCGCGCTGCTGGCTGCCTGCCTCGGTCTGCGATTGCACAACTTTCAGCAATCTATCGCTGAGCCTCGCGAGAGCACTCGGCCCGCGGCCGGCCCGGCCTGACTTGCCGCGCCGTGTCATGCTGGTGGTCGTGGAATATTTCTCGAACAAAACTAAGTTTCGCTCGCTTTTATCGCACAGATAGCCTTTCCTTTTGCATGGTTTACCAGCATTAAATCAAAGAATTATTTAGATCTACATTGTTTTATTGTCTAGAATATAGTCTGTAAACAATGAAAAATAAGAAGAAGATGAAATGGAGATTTTGAAGAAGAATTGGGCCTAAAAAAGAAGAAAAAGAAAACTAGGTAGATCTAGATCTAGTTGGTAGAATCTAGGCCTTGGACTCGTGCCGCCCAGTGGCAGTGCACTGCAGTACAGTGAAGCCAGGAACTAAATTATTTTGAATTGATGTCAGAAATCACATGGGTGCCTCTTCTTGATACTTTCTCGTGATGAAAACACTGTTTTTATTCAAATCAAAATGGTCTAGAGTCTAGATCTAGTGTTGTTGCCAGGGATGATTATTAAAACAAAATCATCGGTCATTTGTTGTTGACTTTGCTTCTTTTTTTTTTTATCCGACTACAGATTAACTTTGCTTTTTTTTTCTTCTATGAAACTAGCCTCAAGTTGTTCTTTTTGTTTGGATGTGGGTAAAATCCTTATTTATATGCATACGGTGTAATAATACTTTGAAGATGTTTGTCAAAATGCGAGCAAAATATTTACATTTATTTTAATAATGTACATTCAAGTTTAATTTAGTTCAATTTTGATCATGACATTCATATTTTTTTTTTTGCAATTTTCTAAATGATTAATATTCATTGTGGAATGAAAAAATAGTTTTGGCGAAGGGATGAGATGCTTGGAAATGCCGAGATCATGATTGCTAACTATTTAAATGAACTCTCCTTCACCTTTACCGCATATATTATATTCCCAATCTTATTACAGGTACAAAGGTGTACGACAAGCTTCGAGAGGAATGGCTGAGGACCAGACTGATGAACGACATTGGGATGATGTCCCCACATGCCCAAACCAGCAAGGTTGAATCATTCCACAACATCCTCCTTCACTTTTGCCCCAAGTTGCTTGTATACTCATATCAAGGGATGAAGTGCAGGTAAATTAGGCAATTAATTCATCAACATTATGCTCCCCTAATATAAATTTAACAAGAACGTCACAGAGGGCAGTGTTGTTTCTTCTTCTTCTTCTTTTGAATTTGATTTTATTGGTTTTATGTTTTAAAGTTATTATTTTCTTTTTGTTATAGCCAGGTTCTTTCTATTTCATATTTTGTTGTTTTTTTTTATTTTTTTTTATTTATTATTTGTAACACATGCTTTTTACACTAACTCTTGCCTTCACTTATTGGAGAGTAGGTAACGAGTTTATGATGATAGACATTACATTACCAAAAAGATAAAATCAACTGTCACAAGTATGTTATTCATGTGACCTTTATTTTTAACTTCACTCTTTTCAGATTATATTTGGCTGTCCTACATTGGAACGAAAATTGTGATAGAGCCCAGGCTGTTGATGCCGAAGGGAACCCAGTGTACAGGTTGAAGTATCCACGCTCGAAGGAAGGAGGCCACACAGTGGAGAGAGTGCTGACAGCTGGCACATGTGGTAAGTAGCCACATGTCTAGTGAATGATATCAATATTCAACAAAAGAGCTCAATTATATATAGAAATCTTTTATTACTTCATGATCAATAGAATTCAAATTAGTAGATTCTTGTGGCCTATATGCCCTTAATTTAATCTGTTGATTAAATTGATAATTATAAACATGTATTGGGTTACTTTCTGCAAATGTGTAATATTGAATAGCAAGCAGAAACAGGCATATATGTCAGTCCCCAAGTCAGTGAACTACCTATTCAGCAAAGAACATGTGCATGCCATTGGTATTTGATTGGTCATCCACCTACAAATAGTGTGTAAAATTAGGTAATTCAATATTTGTGAGAAAAAGAGTTTTCTCTTCTTATGTTCTTATTTTTCTCTTTTCCTTTTTTCCTCTTATCAAAATGTATTTTTTTAACACCGTATAGATGAATTTTCAAGGTATAGTTTTGGATTTTATCTTGTAGGTTATGTGAAAGCCCTGATGAGAGTTGTCGTAGAACTGGTGGAAAACAGGGAGCAGCTCAGAGACAACATGGAGGAGCTACAGCCTCAACCAGCACGGAGTGCCTCTCATCATCACCCCGACAATAGAGAAGCCGTGCAAGCTTTTGAACAACATCATCGCTTTGGCGATAGAAACTAGTTCTTTTGGTGATAGAAACTATGATGAATGTGTCAGCTACCTGAACATTAACCACTGATTGTTTTATTTTAGTACAAGACATGTTTTTCATAGACCCTAAATTATGTTTATGCCAGTATAATTATGGAGAGTAACATGGAAGTACTCTATGCAAGTGAGTAGTGGATTCCGATTCTATGTGAGTGTAAAGCACTAGAAACTTGTCTGTAAGCTTGTACATACTTACACAAGCCAAAGTCCATGGTACACATCAATAGTCATTGGTTTTAATAGGTAAAATACTTATTAAATTTGTAAAACTTACATTTTTAGTTCAATTAAAAACAATTTCTGAAGCATATGCACTAGATTTTCATAAACACTAAGTAAATCACTGTTGATCATGAATTTGGCACCAAATATAATCTGATTTTTCTCACAGTCCTTCATCTTGGCCAATGCTTTTTGCTTCTTATTTGCAAAAAATAAAAAATTAAAAAATGCATTTTTTTTCTTCATCTAAACTGTTCTTATTCAAGAACCATTTGATGTATTGCACCAGATATGACTTTATTTTTTGTTTTTGATTTTTTCCCTTTTCTGCCGAGGTGAATTGTGTTATTCATTTTCAAAGTTAGTAGTTTTAAAGATCATGCCATATTATCACAGAAGAGGAAACATTGTGATGATACCTTATCGCATCCATACTTTTTTTCCTAACAGCGGTTTCCTGTTTGTCCTAAAACCTGGTTATAAAAGATTGAAAAATAATCATCCTTGCAGATATAATAAAAATAGTCATCTATCCTGTAAACTTTACATAAAATAAGGATGAATGTAATGTACATGTTGCATCAAAGTTTTTGTTCCAATGGTGCATCATTTTGAAATATATTGCACAAACAGAGAAGAAAATGATTGGAGGGAAAAACCGTCAATGGGATGTTCTGAGAATATTTTGAGCAAAGGTTAACAAAAATTCATCTAAAGGAACACAAATCTTGTTTGTTTATTTCTATTATAGGTGTCTTGTAGGAAGCTTCATAATTTAAAGATGGAAATTGCTGTGAAAATAAGAGTGAGATAGAGAATGTGAAGGAAGAAGAGGGATAAAGATAGATACCAATAGGGATAGAGTGAGAGATGTGAATGTGATGGATGGAAGAGGAGAAAGAGAGATTGTGAAAGAGTGAGAGATGGGAATGTGATGGATGGAAGAGGAGAAAGAGAGATTGTGAAAGAGTGAGAGATGGGAATGTGGAGGGTGGAGGAGGAAAAGAGAGGCAGAGGGAGAGAGTGAGAGATGGGAATGTGGAGGAAGAGGAGAAGGAGGGACAGAGTGAGAGATGGGAATGTGGAGGGTGGAAGAGGAGAAGGGGGGACAGAGTGAGAGATGGGAATGTGGAGGGTGGAAGAGGAGAAGGAGGGACAGAGTGAGAGATAGGAATGTGGTGGGAGGAAGAGGAGAAGGAGGGACAGAGTGAGAGATGGGAATGTGGAGGGGGAGAAAGAGAGGAGGGACAGAGTGAGAGATGGAAATATGGAAGAGGAAACAGAGAGAGGAAGTGGGATAGAGAGATGGGAATGTGGAGGGGGAAGAGGAGAAAGAGAGAGGAAGAGGGACAGAGTGGGAGATAGGGTTAAGGTTTATCCTTTTTGGGAGGATAGATTTGATGCAAAATAAAGGATTTCCTGGATTTATTACGATGCTTACCATTTATCACACATTTGAAATTTCGTCAACCGCAATTCCCTTCTCTTACTCTCATTATTCCTCTGTCTATCTTTGTTGTGTCCATGCTGTTATTTCTCTTTCTCTCAATTTCGTTTTCTCTTTCAATTTCATTTTCTCTTTCTCTCCCCTTTTCTGACTCGGCAGGTTGACTGTATATGAAATGCTCAAATTATTAAAACAAATTACATTGCAGGGTGTATAACAAAAGAGAAGGAACAAGGCATGTTGTGTTTTTTTTGTTTTTTTTTGTTGTTGCTTGTTTATATAGATTTCAACATTCTTCCTCATAAGAAATCGTTGCTTGATCACAGTTTTGCAAAAGTTCGAATATCAGCTCTTGGAAATTAGAATCAAATGTCGAGATCAAAGTTCATAGCAACCATACCATCATGAGAAGTTCAAACAATAGTATTTGTGATGAATATGAAGATGAAAGCCGATGATCATAAATAACGTACAGAAGATGGCTGACAATCACATAGAAGAAGACAGTCATTCAAAGTTCGCAAGACAATAGTTGATGTTACATCCTCATCTCAACCGACGCAGGATGGTCCCTTTGTACTGACCACGTCCATCAGGATACGCTTCCATTATTGAGGCATGGACACATGCTGGCAGTTGCACCCTGATGTCCTTCCCGAGCCAGCCCCAACACCATCTCACGACTTTCCTGTAGGCCACATACCTGTATTTTCTGTAAAATAAAAAGCAATAAAAAAATTTCATTATTTTTCTTAGGATAGATGATTTGATGTCAAAATATTAATTCTTTATTAATTAATTCAAGAAAATAAAAATGATTAAAAAAAACTAAAATGACCAAGGGTTAGTCATTGTTTGTCGGGCGGTGGGGGGCAACATTCAAAATCGCATATAAAGTTTGTGTTTCATAACTACAGATTATTGGGGGGGGGGGGGGGGGGGGGTAACATGCTAAAACTCACAAACCGGTGGTCATTCTTGCCTATTTGTATACATTTCCTGAAAAAGTGCCCCGAAGCACCTGCAGATAAGGCAGCTAGTACACCAGTGGTCACCAGGCAAGAATTTTGGTCAAAACTAGTAATTCATCTTGCGGTGACTCAATTCGTTTTGAAAAGTTTCACCCAATAAACTTTCAAAATCAATCCATTTATTTTGTTGCCCTTGCCAAAATGATGAAAAGGAGAAACATAACTTACTCACTGTTCCTGTCCCCAAATGCTTTGGCTGCTCGGCGCCACCTATCTGTGTACTCCATCCATCCGATGTACAATGTTGTCGCATTTAGGATGGCCGGCTCAAACTCCTCAGAATCCACCAGACAACTTGAACCCTGTCGATCAGCCTCTGCCTTGACCTCTGCAATTTCCTGACAACAGACACAATCACCTTCATTGAAAGATGGAGGCACACGACATCTTCCACATGTACACCTTGAAATACAGAAAGATTCAAACAAAAATCAATACACCTACTATAATTTTATAAATATTTTATTACAGCTTCCTGATAAATATAAAAATGACATCGTTCTCGTAGTCGTAGTATGGTAAGAGTGCCCAAGGCAGTGCCTATGTCTGCGCACCCACGTAAATGCGCGATATTTATAGAACAAAACATCAAACTGACACCAATTTTCAATCTTAACCTCAACAATTCATTTAGATACCAAAATTTGTGAAAATAATTGGGAAGATTAAAAATGAGTTTTAGCAAGTTTCATTTGCCACCCTGAAAATTTCAATCATTGTCAAAAAAGAAAAGTCTGAACAGGGGGTTGTCCCTGGTATGAAACTTCACTGTGCTTGATTGAATTGCGTGCAAAATAGTGAGTGCGCAGACATGGGCACTTTTCAGTTTTGCTACACAAAATGACGAGCCCGTCTGAAATTCGTTAAAAAAAATTGTTCTTGTGAATAATTTGTCGAGTTTTTTTGTTTCAGTAATCATTAGAATATGAAGAACGGAATAACAATGATGATTCTAAAAATAATATCTTACTGTGTAATGAAATCGAGGTCGAATTTTAGGTGCGCAGACATAGATCTAGAGAATCATTTTAACAAGTTAACTTTAGAATTAGACATGCCATTTATGACCGAGTCTAGAGATCTACGGTATTTGATTTCAATTTTGGGGGGGGGGGGGGAATAAATATTTAGAATGCACAACAAATTCAATAAGCTTATAAGTCTTAATTACCAATCCTCGACATTTTCATGAAGCCGATTTGCGTTGTTGGCCCTTCCAGCATCGCCAACATTTTGCCCAGGTTCACCACGAGGTAAAGCCTAAAGGCTCATACTCCCACTCGACGATACGCCCGTGTTCTCCGGCGTCTGCATCACTTGCATCGCTGTCGGTATCACTGCTGCTGCCAGTACTGTCCGGACTGTCACTACTACCACTGACACTGTCATTTTCACCGCTTTCCCCGCAACTGCCATCCTCCTCACACTCAAATTCCATAACTAAATCATCTTGTGCATCTGCCCTGACGACTGGGGTAGCCATTCTCTTTAGAAAGACTTCTCAAAACTTCTCAAACTTCAATCGATAAAAAGTAGAAAGGATTCACGGTACGCAAAATCAATGTAGATCTCGAACATCGCGCGGCGAAGAATTATATAGCAAACAATTCGAGTCTACACGAAATGACGTCACCCAAGTCCGTGCGGCGCGGGGGCTCTTGACCGAGGCGAATTCGGGAGGGGGCGGCAGTTGTACTGTAATTTTCATTTTTCTCAGTAATGAAAGGGTATTTAATTTTTTCTTTCTTGTATTTGTATTTTGTGTTTCATTAGCCGTCTGTGGATGTATGGTTGTTTACGCTCCGGTCAAGGTCTTTAATGCTTGATCTTGGCCTTAAAGGCCGAGTGAAATTTTGATTCCTGTTGATGTACAGGGTTGCATACAACTCATTTTTTGTCATTCAAACATCTAAATATATTTCATAGATTTCTAAATACTTTGTAAAAATAATTTCGCAAACCCTAAACAAAATGCTTCAGATCTCTTTCATCTTTTGACACCATTTGTCAGTCATTGGTGAGCTTAACAAGAAACAGTGGTATGTATAGTTTCACCAAATACTCTGAGATCGAAAATTGAGACAAATTATAAATCAGGTGAGGTTAAATAAATTCGACATAAGAGAAATGAGAGAGAAAAAAAGAGGAAGATATAAGAAAGAGAAAGAAAGAGAAAGATAGAAAGAGAGAGGGAGAGAGAGAGAGGGAGAGAGAGGGAGAGAGAGAGGAACAGAGAGGGAGAGAGAGAGAGGGGAGAGAAAGAGAAAGAGGGAGAGACAGTGTGTGAAGAGAAGAGGAAAGGTGAAAACGCAGATAAAGATGAAAAGAAGAAGAAATGAAAATATAGGTAGGCCATATACGTCGATTGCGTTATTGCGGTAAATCATTGTAAAGATGTCGAGGGCGGTTTAATTATTTCAAAAAAAATAATACATCAAATAAAATGTATGTGACCCTAGGAAACTAAAGAAAATAGAGAATGAAACGCAAACAAACATGAAGCTGTTAAGATCTGCCCAGACAGTTAGATTTATATTACAATAAACTTTACAGTGTCAAACAACTATTCGGCTACGTCAAGGCCTTCATTTAAGGGTAGCAACATTTCTATAATGATTCACTAATAATATCGGTAATAGCGCCAGCTAACAACAAGATTTATGTTGTTATTATAGAGATAGGACATGGCCAAATAAAAGTGAAATTTATACCAGGTCTAGACATGGACAGTAAAGGTAAGTCAGGTTGAAAACATTGAAAAAAGAATGTCCAGCTGTTTTTAAAAAGTTTCGTGGTAAGAAAAATGGGCTGCCGAAAAGTTATAGGTGTATAGACTCAATCAATTCTGCTTCTTGTTTTTCTATCTCTCTTTTTCTTTCTTTCTCTTTCTTTTTTCTATTTTCCTCTTTCCTAATTACTTCATCTTTCTCTATTCTTTTTTTCTTCTCGTTTTTTTTTGTATCTATCATTCTTTCTTTCTTGTTTACAAAGCCTAAACAAGTTTTTTGTTTTTATACCGATCTACATTTTTGGATTCACATTAATTTTACCCTTTTCTTAGAATATTCCATTCTCAAAGACACCATAAATTGTCAAATTTTGAATTTGTAACGAGATCTGAAATTAAAGTTACGGCAAAAAAGAGTTTGACATGGAACCACAAGGTATGTTTCTTCTTTTTTCCTACTAATGCCTTTTCCACTTGACAAAGTATTTGTTACTCTTTTATAATGTGTTAAAATATTATCTTGATATGTGTTAACTGATGCTTTTTTCAGTCGTTTGTCAGCTTCATCCAGCCATTTCCGTTTGCCTTGTTAACCATTGTCCCATACGTTGGTATTGATGTAAGTGTGAATGGGGGACAACACAACGGTTTCCTTCTCTAGGTAGGCAAATTCATGCAAAAAAATATATTTAAAAAATTGACTTGAAAACACATCAGACAATTAGTCTGAACCGAGTCAGGAGCAAATTTGAAGAAATTATATTTTTAAATGTTGTAAAACCAAAGATATAAGATTAGAAGAAAACTGACCAAGTATTAGTAGACCTCTATCTGTAGACCTCTAGGCCTACTAAAAATCGTACATAAAATTGGTCGTATACATTCGACAGCTGAAAATGACGCGCACGGTTGCATTACAAGCGTTCTCGAATCCAAAATCATACTTCACACACACACTCTCGCCATACCGCGAATGGTCCTTCGTGGGGAGCTAGCCGGCTGAGAGTTTGCAGCGATATCAACGCAGCTTCGGAGCTCTGCAGAGCGCCATTTTAGCGGGACTCGGAAGGGTTCGCGTGGGAAGGCAGCAGCCTAGCTTTTTGCCCAAACAACGCTAGATCGGCTGCTGGCAAAATGAAAATAACTAAGATCGAGAACATCGTCGGTTTCTTAACTTTTCAGTGAGATAATTCTGAATTCTAATTGAGACTATAATATATAATCAATTGAATCGACAAAGAAACCTCGGTAGAACTCTTATAACTATACAAAAGCTTGTTTATTTCTTCATTTGACATTTTGTTTTCGACCATTTTTTCGTGCGCGAGTCAATGCAAACTATGTATTATCAAACTTTCAACACGCAAGGAACGGGGAACACTCGCGGACCTCGTATCAAATTTGTTGCAAAAAAAAATTCAAGTGTGATTTTGAAGCAGTGTAGAATATTGGCGCTGCAATGCGCAGAAATATACTTGAAAGAAACTTAATAAATCATACCTGAATTTTCAGAAAATCGTATTTGTATTAGTGTACCTAGATGTGACTTGTTTATAACTCAGATTTTATGAAGATTTGTCGGGAAAAAATGTCAATTTTTTCCGTTTGGTGGTCATTTCTAGGCTAATATTTAAAAAGTTACTTCAGTAATGGGCCCGATGTTTCTCTTATCATACTCGCATGTTGTTTCTACATAGATTAAACATAGGATGGTTAAGGGTAAGACCGGATAACATTATAAAAAAGATATATCCTTCCAACCTCCCATATCCAATTTTTGGGCTGATTATTGCCGACCCACCGCAGCAAGGCCATTCAGATTGTCGTACGCGAGCGAAGCGCCCTCTAGTGCCCCATGAATGTGCCTACTCTAGGGTCTAAATCTTCATCAATTGTTCAAATAATGGTCATGATTTTTAAAAGTCGTTATGTTTCTTAGAAAATCTTACCTGTTTCATGTCAATCAATGTTCTTATTGTTTTTGTAGTATTTCTCCTAACAACAAAGGCTTATAATTTACAATTTCTCATGAGATTCACGGCAAACTGCTGCACAATACAATTGCATTCCGTACCGACGTTGGGGTGCGCACGTGTGCGTGAAGTTAGCGACCGTAATGATGAATTGCTTTGATCAGTAAGGGTGCTGGTACGAGAATAAGGATCGTCTTCATAAACGAGTATTGTCTTCGTAAACGTTGACCGATGCGTCCTCAAAAATAAGAATCGTCTGCATTTACGCAGACGTTTCATATTTTGGGTTGGCGCATTGGCGATGCGAAAAACAAATTCCCCAATGATTTTCCTGAAGTATTTTAAATTGACTTTGTACAGAGACTTTCACATTATGAGCAATAAATCCTCGGGAAGCGGACAGCCCATAAAAGTAGACAGTGAACTAGGGTTATATTCCCATGGGGAATCCATTTTTCACATCGCCAGCGGTTAGGTAATCCGAAACCTGCAGAGCGCAGATTAAAAAAAACGTCCTCAAAAATGCAGACAATCCTTATTTTTTAAGTAAACACATTTTGTCTGCGTTTATGAGGACGATCCTCATTCTCCCACGCCCCTAATGTTGATTAACTTGATGAGGGTCTAAGATTTCAATTGCTTACTTCAGGTGCACGCCCGCACCAATGCATAACAAGAATGCTGAGCTCAGACAAGAGTCTGCGATGCAATGTTGGTTCCGTCAGTAACCCAAATACATATATGTGGTGTACGCAAAAATGCCTGCCTTCGTATTGCCAACTTGATACTTTCTATCAACAATAGCGATCAGTGAAAATTGGCATGTGGTGGGAGTGTCACTGAACTCGGCGAACTTCCTGCGTGCCTAAGTACACTCAACTAATCGCTATTATCGTAAAGTAATTGGCAAGACAAAATTCAAGGCATTTTCATGTGCATTGTTAATACAGACGTGTATCAATCAGATATGATTATTTGCGCCTGGAGACCGACATTTAAACGTCACCATCCTAAAGACGTGTCCTCGGCTGAATCAGTTTGTAAATACCACTGTTAGCTGGATTACAGGCGCACGCCACAACGCCTAATTTTCATGTACATTTTTGCATAAGAGAATAATGTTAAATGTATTGGTTATCATTGTTCTAAATATGTACATGTATGCAAAGTAGCATATCTCCATGTTCAAAAGACCTGTATATATTTGTCAGGACAGGTATAATCAGACTTGAGATTTGTTTTAGTAGTGTTTCACAAAGATCCTAAGTTGTACTTAACTCTGAACTGGACTTAAAAATCATGGAAAGCAATTTGTAGCCTTAAAATAAAACAATCAAAAGTGAAAATTCAAGTATTTTTGACTATTTATAAATTTCACATCAAGATCATGAAATCTCCTTGATATACATGTAATAGAAAATCAGGCCTCGAATTACATCAAATTTGGGTCAAGGCCACTTTTTTTGAGAGGGCACAAATCCACTGAAAGGGGCACAAATCTATCCTAAGGGGCACTAAGGCCAACGTGGAAAGTGCGCGTAAAATCACCTCACGCCGTTGTTTTCAAGGTGGGGGGGGGGGATATGTGCACCCAGGGGCGGATCCAGGATTTCTTCCTTAGGGAAAAAATCGCAACGACTCAGCCAGCCGCTGAATAAGCGGGGGGGGGGGGGGGGGCTAAGAGGACACTTTTTTTTGTTTTTGGTCTCGAAATTTGAAAATTTGACATTTTGTTCCCTTTGGGGTGGGGGGAGGGGTGGGGGGGGGGGGTGAGGTCACCTTTTTTAGATCAGCCATTGGCATAATTTTTTTGTGTGTGTGTGTTTCATTTTTTTTAAAAAAAGGGGGGGGGGTTTGCTCCAAAATACAGACATAAAAAAAACCGAAGGGGGGGGGTTTAACGTTCCAACCCCCCCCCCCCCCCCTGCGTACGTGCCTGCTTGTCTGAATACAGTTCCCCTCCCTCCGCGCAAAGCGCGGAAGCTTTTACGTTTCATTAAATCATTAGAGAAAGAAGAGGATTCGTTGTACCGTTCTCGACTCTTTGTCTGAATTTCAAAAATGTTTTTTGTCTGCTCCTTTTTCTTCATACGTCCTCTTCCTTTTCTCTCCTCTCTTTTTTTGGCTTTTTTTTGGGGGGGGGCGCCCCCACTGCCCCCCCCCCCGGCTACGTGCCTGCGGTCAGATTAACATCTTTTGATACCTTGTTCGCCCCCGGAAACTCATGGGTTGAAGGCAAATTACGGTCAGATAAGCATTCAGGGGCCCGCTTCAGGGCCCCTGGTGGAGTCGCGGGTGCGGAAACCCCTGGATTTCAGGGGTTTCAGGCATTTGATTACGGTCAGATGAACATATTTTTATACCTTATTTGTGACACTGGCAGGATACTGATTGGCGTGAGGTCCGCCGGGCGGAGCCCCCAGAAGCCCATGGGTTTAAAGCATTACATTACCGTCAGAGTAGCATCCAGTGGGGTCCAGGGGGCAGAGCCCCCGGAAGCTCAGGGGTTTAAGCATTTAATTACGGTCAGATGAGTATCAAGAGGCCTGCCAAAGGGCCCTTGGTTGGGTCCCGGGGGCAGAGCCCACGGAAGCTCAGGGGTTTTAGGCGTTTAATTACGATCAGATGAGCAATTTTTGATACCTTATTTTGTTGAGAAACTGGTAGTTAACTATTTTTTCTTTCTTGCTCTCTTTCTTTCTATTTCTCTTTAAAATGCTTTTCAACAAAAATTGGGGGGGAGGGAGCTGGAGGGGGGGGGGGAGTTTCCCCCTTTGACGTTTCATTGAATTATTAGAGAAAGAAGATGATTCGTTGTACCGTTCGTGACTCTTTATCCTTTTCTGAATTCCAAGGGAAGCGCGGAAGCTTAGACGTTTTTAATAAATTATTAGGGAAAGAAGACGATTCGTCTCGATCTCGACTACCGGTATTATCCTTTTCTGAACTCAATTCACACCCCTCCCACGCGATGGGCGGAAGCTATGACGTTTTAATTAAAACGTATGGGAAAGAAGACGATTCTTTGTACCATTATCTCGACTTTTAATCCTTTTCTGATTTAATTCCAGACCCTCCTCCCGAGAAAAATCCAAGTTTTTCACTGATTAAAAACTGTGAAAACGCACCAAAAAAGGTCACAACGCGAAGTAAAGATGTTGAACCAACGATGGGTAAACAAAACTTCCCGATATTGATTGGTTCAAATAAAAAGGATGGATTGAAAATCTAAGCCTGAGTCATTATGGTTTTTGTGCCAAACGTTTCAGTCATTTGGATGAAGACATTCTTTCATATCTCCGTATCGGCAATTAAGTCCCGCCAATTAATTTAGGAGTTCCATATTGGAAATTAAGTCTCGCCAATAATTATTGTTTTAGATCTCCGTAGGGGCATGCAACAAAGTCTTGCCGATTATCATTGTTTTAGATCTCCGTAGGGGCAACAAAGCCTTGCTGATAATTATTGTTTTTAGAGCTCCGTAGGGGCAACAAAACCTTCCAGTAATTATTGTTTTTAGAGCTCCGGAGGGGCAACAAAACCTTGCCGACTATTATTGTTTTTAGAGCTCCGTAGGGGCAACAAAACCTTCCGGTAATTATTGTTTTTAGAGCTCCGGAGTGGCAACAAAACCTTGCCGATAAATATTGTTTTTAGAGCTCCGGAGGGGCAACAAAACCTTGCCGACTATTATTGTTTTTAGAGCTCCGGAGGGGCAACAAAACCTTACCGACTATTATTTTTTTTAGAGCTCCGGAGGGGCAACAAAACCTTCCGGTAATTATTGTTTTTAGAGCTCCGGAGGGGCAACAAAACCTTGCCGACTATCATTGTTTTTAGAGCTCCGGAGGGGCAACAAAACCTTCCGGTAATTATTGTTTTTAGAGCTCCGGAGGGGCAACAAAACCTTCCGATAATTATTGTTTTTAGAGCCTCGGAGGGGCAACAAAACCTTGCCGACTATCATTGTTTTTAGAGCTCCGGAGGGGCAACAAAACCTTCCGGTACTTTTAGAGCTCCGGAGGGTCAACAAAACCTTGCCGATAAATATTGTTTTTAGAGCTCCGGAGGGGCAACAAAACCTTGCCGACTATTATTGTTTTTAGAGCTCCGGAGGGGCAACAAAACCTTGCCGACTATCATTGTTTTTAGAGCTCCGGAGGGGCAACAAAACCTTGCCGACTATCATTGTTTTTAGAGCTCCGGAGGGGCAACAAAACCTTGCCGACTATCATTGTTTTTAGAGCTCCGTATGGGCAACAAAACCTTTTTGAACATTACAAGTCGGGTTGGCTTACGATGACTAGACTAGACTAAGTCTATAATGTCGGCAAAACTTTTGTGGATTAAAATATTGTGGCCGCAAACGGTTTGATTTTGAAAGGGCATTCCGGCCAGTGAGAGGGGCATGGCGGCAAATTGCCGATTGCCGGTGGGTAATTCGAGCCCTGGAAAATATTATATACCTCACTTAAGTAATCCAGCCATCTGATTGGTCGAAATTGCATTCATAAACTTCAACTGTTCCTGTAAAATTCCTGGTAACCATGCATAAAACATTTAATATTTTTAATAACCATGGTTATTAAAAAAATAGGTCAGCCTCCATGGTTACCCCATAGGTTTACATGTTAAAAAATGGTTTGAGCGATGGAGGATACCGTATGTGTGCGAAGGATTGGTCGGTAATTTCAATACAATTGAATCTCGATCGATCTTACCGACAATTTTATCTTGCATTGTTGACATGAAGACGAAAATAAACTTCCAAAAACAAAAAAACAACATCTGCCGATAGATCTTGATCTAAGTTCGTGCCAATATGCATTGCAAAAGTAAAAGAAGGGTCCTTTTGCGAAGCATTCATCACGCCGAAGCCGGTTTCAATCCATTTTAATGTATATATTGTACAAAACTGCCAAGCATGTGAACAGCGCGCGATGGACGAGTGGTGTAAGGCGTTGGTGTAAGGTGCATCACTCAGTACGCAAGAGTTCGACTCTCACCTTCGACAAAAAAAAAAGTGTTTTTTATTTTTTATTTTTTAGTCTATTTTTTTTCGGCATATAAAAGTATTAATGACTGCTTTAATATTCGAGAAATAGTTGTTTTTATACGCTCTCGGGAAGGTTACAATTGGGCTATTCCCCTCGGCAAGCCTCGGGTAATAGCACAATTCTAACCTTCCCTTGAGCGTATAAAAACAACTATTTCTCTCAAAGCAGTCATTAATACTATATGAATGATTTGAATCAACATGTTATGCCTTTTAAAATAACTTTTACAAAATATTTTCATAGAGGCTAACGGCTTTCCATAATTGATAAGTCAAACTTAGAATAGAGTTGAACCCCCCCCCCCCCCCTTGACTAAGTTCTGCTTATACCGGTATGCAGATAATTAGGATTTTTTTTTTTCTTTCTATCTCTTTTATTGAATCCAGGCCCAGAACCAATGACCCTGGGGTCACCACAGTCTTCCTCAACTAGTCTCCCTGGAAGCCTCTCAAGTCAATTTCTTCCTGCATTTCTGATAGGAGATCAGAGCCCTGCAGTCTCGGTAATTTGTCCAGCATTTTTCAAGTTTCAAGACTTATTTTATTTAATACTCTCAACCTTTACAGATTAATTGTTACTGAATTTTACATGTTCAACAAACATATACAAATTTCAAAAAGAGGAAACAAAAACAGATCCTAGTAAAATACTATGACAGAAACAAGGTGTACACAATTTCCATATTTTATATGACAATAGAAATTAATCTAAAAATGGGAAACCATACATGTAGGATTTTCATTGAAATAGAAGCCAGTTGAAAGTAATTCAGAACACACAACGAAACCAATCTTTCAATCCAAATCCTATTATAACCTTATACTATATACATCCAGGACTGAGTGAAGCCTCAAACACTGACAGTCAAACTTGTTTTAGTGACCACCTGTCTACAAAGACCACATTTGTTGTTTCCCTTGAAAATTGTTTCTCATTGAAACATGTACCAGAGGAACCTGTCCACAAAGACCACTTGTTGTGTTTCCCTTGGGTGGTCGCTATAGACAGGTATGACTGTATCACTAAATTGTAATCAGTCATCTGAATGTCATCATAGTTATAGTATATTCTGTGTTTGTGTTTGTTCAGCCTGCTCTAGGGAGACAAAGGTCACTGCTGAGAAGTCCTTCCAGGTCAATGACCCCTTCGACCCTTGGGCCGAGGGATAGTCTACACAGAGCAGACTCCAGTGATAGTCGTGTCGGGCAGACACCAAGGTATGTAGATTTCTCACAGATTACAACATAACAAGGGTTCATTGACACAAAGACGTAACTCCATATTTTGCCATAATGACTTTTTGAAATCAAAATGTTCAGAAGAATGGCTAGTCAATGGCTAGTAAAACATAGACTTAAGGCCCAAGTGCTCAGTGACACATAAACCACTTTTTCTCCAGATGGCCAAAATGGAGTTACGTCTTTGTGTCACTGACCCCTCAATAAACAGTCAAATCTGCTTTAGCGACTGCCTGTATAAAATGACCAACTGTCTACAGACACCACATCTTTTGTTTCCCTTGTAAATGGTTTCATGTACTGAAGTCACCTGTACATAAAGACCACTTGTCTTGTCTCCCCTGGGTGGTTTTTATAGACAGGTTTGACTGTACATGGCATCCTTAATATATATGTATGTACATGGAGGAATGTGATATTTAGTTCCTCTTGGCCGCGGGGTACATTTCACCAGGCTTGCTCATCAATGACCCATCAGGAACAGCTTGTAATAATGGATTGCAGGACATAAATGCGAGAGATGTATTTGAAGATTCCTTCCTTTTAATGACCTGCCTGTCTGTATGTCTGTCTGTCAACAGAGCCTTAAAGTGACTCAGTAACATTGGCTCAGATTCTGAAACAAAATCCTGGATTTAGCACATGCTTGCAGCTGCAATGATAATTATAAACCTTTAGGGTCAGTCAGGAATCCCATGACTTTTACAAACCGATCCCCTGTCTGGTTATCAAAATATTTATGATTTTATAACACTACAGTCTATTGGGGTACTGACAGCACCCTGCTACACGTTCCTCGCACATACATGTACACCAAAGCTGGCGACAATGCATCCAGGCATGTGCTCCTCGACTCTGGAATAAGCTTCTGCATTTTTTTCGATTAGCACCTTTGCTGGATGTCTTCCGAAAATGTCTCAAAACTCTCCTCTTTGACCATGATCAACAATAGATTCTTTGATAACTTTTATGTATAGCGCTGTGAAAGTTAGTTTGTAAGAGCGCTATAGAAATGTCTTTTATTGTACTGTGTTGTATTGGGGGAAATGAGTATGGTAAAACCGGTCACACAACGATTTTTAATTTTTTGAGGCACTTTATGATCATTTTGAAGCGCATTTTTTGAAGGGCTTCAATATCACACCATATCACAGACACTGATAACAGGTAGCGTTATGTATCTCAGATTTAACAATGTTAAACGATGCCTTTAATGGTCTGTCCTTCAACAGAACCTTAATTCTATACCACTGTCTTTCTCTACAGGACTGCTTCACAGGTTTCACACACACCCAAAGACAAAGGAAATGCCCCACCGGTAGCTGGTCTCTATGATCCTATTCAAGACCACAGAGGGAGCCCTGCTGTTTTTGATACACCAGAAAGAAGACAGGTGAGTGGCAGCACAAAATGGTGGTATTCTCAAAAGCAGACTAATTTTAGTCCATGGTTTAATCCACCGACTAAATATGGCATGCGAAGTGTCCATATGAATATATTTTTTAATAATTTGATATGTCCCTAAATTACCATAATAGCTAATATAGCTGTATTGCTTTTTAATTAATTATTTTATTATATTTGATTTTAATTTAGCGACAGATTAAATTATTCAAAAACATATTGATATGGACACTTGGCATTCCATACTTAGTCGGTGGATTAAATCCTGGACTAAAGTTAGTCCGCTTTTGAGAATACCACCCAATGCTTTCTGATTTCTTGTCAAAAATACTATAATGTATATACATTTGCATTAAACTATATTAAAGCCCCTCTAAATGGTTGGGAGCCCCAAATTTGCCAAAAATTGAATGGCAAAATGTTACTTAAATTGTATCATAATGTGAAAAAGAATATCATTTAAGTCACAATTCCGCAAACATCCCCCCCCCCCCCCCCCCAAAAAAAAAAAAAAAAAAAAAAAAGAAAAAAAAAAAGAAGAAGAAGTGTTTTAAGACAAATTTTGATAAAAGAATACCGGTATACACAATTTGGGTTTTCTGTTGAACGCATTTCCTACAAGAAACTAGTGGCTCTTGATTTTACAGAAAGACATAAACAGTTTTCTACGGCCATGGACATGACGACAAACATATAACCATCTTGGCAATTTGTGTTGTGATTCTCATTGTTCCAAAGTTTTACATACTGTTTCAAAATTTCATAACTTTCTTATTAGTTAGGTATCCCATTTTGCTCAAACTTTTTTTGATTGGTTTGTCTGATTTTCTGCTTTTATTGAAAGTAAGTTATTTTTTGAGTGGACTTGTCCTTTAATAGAAAAAAAAATTGCTTATCATTTGGCCATGTGCAAGGATTTCTTTTATGAACATTGTAAATGAAATGTGGGCCATTATTATGGAGTAATATTTGATTGTGTCCTATTTTCACTTTTTAGTTGGATTTCACTCAAGCGCCTTCAAGAACACCAAGACAATTAGGTATGTATTGATTGTAAATCCTTATCATTTATTTTTGCTATATTATGGTATTTTTCCATTGTTTGACAAAGTGAAATGGCAGTTTGTTGCCAGTATATGTACATGTACATGTAGATGTGTTTTTTATGGTAGGGGCCTTTATGTAGAAGTTAGATGTGATATTAATGATTCTTTAATTATTTAATAATTCCAAACGGGTGTTTCACAAATATCCTAAGTTGAATTTATCTCTAAGTTGGACTTAACAATTATGGAAAGCCATTAGGATCTTTGAAAATATTGTGTTAAAGTTGTTTTTAAAGGCATAAAATGTTGATTCAAATCATTCATATGTTCTATTATCATGGGAGGTTTCATATTCTTGATGTGGAATTTATGAAAAGTCTAAAATACTTCAAGTTTTGCTTTTGAATATACAAATGGCTCTCCATGATGTTACAGTCCAACTTAGGGTTAAGTTTAACTTGGGATCTTTGTGAAACACCCCCAGGACTGTAAGAAACTAACCAAAAATACTTTACGTGTGGACTGTACAAGAAAGGCTATAATGAAATTCAGTAGCTACATGTATGTGGTGATTTTCTTTCTTCTCTTCATTGTAGATTCCCCTGCTGCCAGTCGTCTGTTTTCCCCCTCCCAACAGTCAATGGTTCAGTCCAACCAATGGTCAATGCAGGCACCGCCATCACCGCCACAGGTTGATCCATTCTATACACAGGGGTGAGTTTTCTCAAGAGAAAAAATCCAGTCGTTTAAATCAGTAGTTTATAGTATTTTAGAATCCTTTCTTCCTTTTACTTTGCTGAACAAGAGGTAAATAGAAAGGAAGGAAATAAAATTGGTGATGAAATCTAACAGCTTGCATTGAAGAAAAACTGATTGACAGAATGAAAGTGAAACAGAATTAATATGAAACTAATAATCATACAACATAGTTGTAACTTTTCCTCTATATCTTTTTCTGAAATTGAAGTAGAATATTATTCATCGTCGTCATCATCATTATCGAAACATTTTACCATATTTATGTTTGTGCTATATTAGAGACCATGTTTTTGTGTTTGTTTTATTATTGCAGGGAGAATATTTTGCCAGAAGATGAATTAGATGATACCTGGATCACCATTTTTGGGTAAGACATGAATATATTATTATATTAACACAATATTTGGGTAAGACATGAATATATTATTATATTAACACAATATTTGGGTAAGACATGAATATATTATTATATTAACACAATATTTGGGTAAGACATGAATATATTATTATATTAACACAATATGTGGGTAAGACATGAATATATTATTATATTAACACAATATTTGGGTAAGACATGAATATATTATTATATTAACACAATATTTGGGTAAGACATGAATATATTATTGACTTACTTGACTTAAGCCGTCCACATCATCACTGGGATGCATGATGGCTTCTGTTTCACCATGGCTTGCCACACCTTCCTGTCTTCTGTTAGCCTAGTGGCTTTAGTCAGGGAGTCAACTTGTCTGTTTTTGCAGTCCGCCTTGATGCAGTCTGTCCATCTCTTTGCTGGTCTTCCCCTTGGGCGTTTGCCATGTACATTTCCGTTGAGAAGGATGTGGGGGTATCTTTTTGAATTCATTCGGTTGATATGTCCAAAGTATCTCAGTCTTTTTGTGGCAACCCTGTCGATGATGGTTTCTTCCATATTCAGTTGTGTTCGTATGTGTGTGTTCCTTAGCCTGTCAAATCTGGTCACACCCATGATTCTCCTGAGGCATGCCATCTCAAAAGTGTGAAGTCTATTTTCATCGACCTTCTTTAATATTATTATATTAACACAATATGTGGTTAAGACATGAATATATTATTATATTAACACAATATTTGGGTAAGACATGAATTAAACAATTATGCTACAGATTGGAATAGAAATTGTCTTTTACGCTGTGTGAATGGTAAAACATGTAGGGTGGTATTCTCGAAAGCGGACTGACTTTAGTCCTTGGCTTACTCCACCGACTAAGTATGGAATGCCAAATGTCCATATGAATATGTTTTTGAATAATTTAATCTGTCACTAAATTAAAACAAAATGTAATAACATAATTAATAAACAAAATGTAATTATATTAATATAATTATGTTATCATGGTTATTTAGGGACATATCAAATTATTCAAACATATATTCATATGGACACTTGGCATTCCACTTAGTCGGTGGATTAAACCATGGACTAAAGTTAGTCCGCTTCCAAGAATACCACCGTAGGATCTAAATGAAAGATTTGCCATGCAGTTGTGGGTCCATTTGTCTCCATGTGCATCTAGCCTTGTCCATATGACTTTATCAGCAGCATTGAGCAGTCCCTGCAAAAGGAATACCGTAACCCACTTCAAGGAGGCTGCTCTATCCTCCATCAGAATGATGCAGCCCCCTGTAGGCTCTCACATAGTATAAGTTTACTAGCTTGGTTTTTTACTTGCACCTTACTTAGCATATTTTACTGTAAATTAATGAGTGCTTTGTCCACACACCATTCCAGCAATAGTCATGGCACCCCTTGCAGTTACCCGCCTCACCTACCATCCCAGTTTAGCTTCCTGAGTGAGCTGCCAAAGGGATTACCCAAGCAGGTACTAAGTACCAAGATCATATGACTATTGGGGAATAAAGCTGAATGAGGCTGAAGCACTCTATTTTGTATATGAGCTTTATGAGGTCACATGAACATGTATGTGAGCTTTATGAGGTCACATGAACATGTATGTGCATGTATAGTATTTGCTATAACTTTTCTTTGTTGTTGTCTCTATTACCCTCTCAGTTTCCAGTCAGCAGCAACGTCTTACATTCTTCAGCAGTTCTCACAGTACGGCAATATAGTTTCACATGTGGTGAGTTAGGAGATGACGCGACATTTAATCCTTACACAATTGCTCTGGGTTTTATTTCATCAAAGTTAGATTTTAGATTAGGTTAGGGTTTGGTATCGTGTTGGGTCCGCGGTTAGTGTCAGAGCAGTTGTCGTAGGAGCAATTGTCGCAGGAGCAATTGTCATACAACCAAGCTTAGAATATAAAATCATTATTAAATCAAAGCATTTATTTGAATTGAATTTGCTCAAAGGCACATAAAGAAAAGTGAGAGTTGTTAATAATATGAGGGTGTTTAATATTAAAAGACTTTAGATAAAGATAAAGATATTATAAGGTTATAGCACTTTACAAAATGAAACATGTTGTGGAGTTTAATTCTCGATCCATTTTCAGCCTAAATTTTACGACAGATTATACCCTCTGGTTCGATACAAAGAAATGAGCACAGAGTTAAATAAACATATATTTCTCTCTGATTTTTTTTGTTCACTGCCTTTTTTTTTGTTTTTTTTGTCAGTGGTTAGTTCAGAAAACTGGATGCATGTTCAGTACAGCTCTTGTACATAGAACTCATGCAGTTAAGATTAACTCTATTTATATATTTGTTGTTGTTTCTGTATGCCTTGTAGGTTGCTAGCTCTGGTAACTGGATGCATATACAGTACAGCTCTCATATACAGGCCAGGAAAGCATTGAGTAAAAACGGCAAGGTCTTCGGAGGTAACGTCATGGTTGGAGTCACCCCCTGTATAGATAAGGTATGTCATGGATTGTATGATAATAGTAATCCTGGGGGCGTTTCATGAAGCTGTTCGTAAAGTTACGCATGACTTGAAAATGAAGAGCCAGATAGGATGCCCAACGTTTTTCTTGATGTTTTAACAAAGTATGACTATATTTCCCATAACCTCAATTAAATTATGGCAAAAAATATGCTTTTCATAAAATATGTTTGTTATGATAAGAATGTTAATCTACATCTGCACAGTTCAACTTTTAGTTGATGCAGTTAAAAATGATTGAGCATCCCATTTGGCTTTTTTTTGAAAATTCATGCATAACTTTATGAACAGCTTTACGAAACACCCCTCAGGTAACCTTTTATCTCACCTGGGTGGAGTGTGGCAAATGTAGAGTACCGTCTTGCCAAAGGATGTTAGCATTGTGGTATGGATTTGATGTTCCGTTGTATGACAAGCCTTCTTTCTTTCATTGTTGATTTTCATATCATGGGGTTACTAAGTGAGGGTACATCAGACCCCTACGGGAGGAACCAGGGGCGGGGGCCAAAGAGGGGACCCAAATCGTAAGAAAATACTTAGCGGCGATACAGCCAGCCTGTGAATAAGCGGAAGGGGGGGGGGGGGGGGTGAGCACTTCCATTTTTGTTTGGCCCTCAACAAATTGCACCCCCCCCCCCCCTTGAGCGCTAGGGAAGGGGGCCCATCTAAAAAAAAAAAAGGTAAACTTAACATGTTTTTAACTGTATATTTTCTCAGGGGGAGGGGACCCGCCCCCCCCCCCCCCCCCTTTGGATCCGCCACTGGGAGGAACACCACCGGTACCATAGACACACACTTTAGTTACCCCTGTTAAGAGCCTGATATAGGATTTAATTTAATAAATGGATTATTGATTGCAAATGTATGACACTACTTTTTACACTAAAAAAACCAGGAAATCCCCCTCCCTTCCCACCCTTACTAAGATATGATTGTTAACACCTTTTCAGAACATTGAATATGCGGCCTTACATCGTAACAACCTTCTTCATTCATTGTGTTTATTTTCAGGGGGTAATGAGTGGGGGTACATCAGACTCCTACGGGGTGAACACCACCGGTAGCATGGACACACCCATCACCCCTGCTAAGAGATTGGTATCACAGAATGCTGAACCAGAGGCTGTTAGGAGGACTCCTATCAGACCACTCACTGCTGCGTACAAGGCGGCTAGTAACCCTCATGAGGTAAGGACATTTTGATTTGACTTGATCTTTTTGGGGGGTGTTCTTTTGTGGTATGTTTTGGTGGTGGTTATTTTAGCTGACTGCTAAGAAAGCATAAATGCTTGTTAGTAAGCAACCAGAGTACAAACGGCTTTAGGTCCTCTCAGAGGGACCTGGTAGGTCGCTGGATTGCGAGACCACTGCTCTACCAAATGAGCTATCGCGCCTCCTTGATTTGGTTTATTGATTTATCTTTCATTTTATCAAGCATGCATATCCATGACATTGATAAAAGTTGTCCAAATCAGTACATGTATAGAAAAAGCAAGAGATGAAGTTACAAGCATATAATGATAATAATAGGCATTTATATAGCGCCGTCTATCTAGACAATTTTATTCCGAGGCACACAAGAAAAATAGAAAGAATGAGAGAGTTTGGATGAATAGTGTTAAGTGCAGGTATAATTTTAAAAAGCAAGAGATTAAGGAACACACATATGGCACTGTAACTCCACAGTATTGTATGAAGCGGTCAGGTAAACAAAACGGCAAAACCACACATTGCACAAAGGACAGGGAAAGAATTAGCAGAAATAGATCTCTAAGATTTGTTCTAATGTAAACTATTCAAAGTTTCAAAGAAAGTTATACAATTTTTGAAGCTGGTTGAACCATTTCAGCAACTCCAGTGACATCATTTGGGATCGATTGTGCATTCACTGGCTTTGGACAAAAAAAATGTCTAGATTTTCATCTTAATTATCCCACATATACAGAATCACATGACATAAATACGTATATCTGTCATTGAAATGTATGCCCTATAATTCTTGTGTACCAAAATAGTTTACTCTAAACTAAAAAAAATTGCAATAAGCCTAATTTTTGTGAACATGCTCAGTTTGAATTTAACATTGAATATTTAAAGACATTGTCTTAATTATTTTGATATCTATTTATCCACATCTTCGATACATTTTTCTAAATAGTTTATAAGATTGCTTTGTGATGTTAGCATTGTTATTTTGTTACATTGCTTTTCAGGCGCGGATCCAGGATTTCTTAGGGGAGGGGGCCCAACTTTTTTTTTTTTTTTTGCTCCCGAAAATTTGAAAATCGCGCCGGTCGAAAAGTCGCTCAGTTGGGGGGGGGGGGGGGGGGGGGGGGGGGGGGGGGGGGAGAGCACTTTTTTTTTTTTTGGTCCTCAAATTTTTTTCAATTTGCGCGCCCCCCCAAAAAAAAGTCATGTGATTTTACATGAATTTTTTCTCAAGGGGGGGGGGGCCCGGGCCCCCCCCCCCCCCTGGATCCGCCACTGTTGCTTTTGTATAATGATGTTTGTATTATAATGTAAATATCTAATTACTTTGTAAAACAGACAATACCAGCCTCCATCCAATTCAATTCAATTCAAAATGCTTTGTGAAAAACTTTTGACAAAAATTAATATATATAGCAACTTTATCAATGTGTCGTGTTGCTGTCGTAGTAGACCAATGATTTTTCATTCTCTTCTTGTTTTATATTCAGGTTGTCCAAGAGAGTAGGACCCCTCAGAAGTCTAGCAATGTCGTCAGTAAAACATTGGAATACATGTTTGGATGGTGAAGCAAGCACATGTTCTACTAAACACTGGATTATTACAGATCATGAACTCCAAGACAATCAAGTGGAAACCAATTGTACGACTTCACTTGACTTCACTTGTTGCAGGAGTTTGACATGCTGTATAAAACCTTAGATTATCATAACAGTGAACTGTTAACCCTAGATAGTCACAAACAGGGATCTGGGCGTGCCTATGCACAGATAGTGAACTGAAGATAAACACGCTGGACCCAAATTGTTTGACTATTTACGAGATGCGATGGGTATTACTTGAATGACTTGCTCGCTCAGAGGAGTTTCACTTGCTGTCTCTTTAAGCCTCGAGTTGTGGCGAGCTAGCTGGCTCGATCTTATGGCAAGCAGTGTTATCATTAAAAAATATTTCTTGATATCACGAAATCGAATTCTTGATATCACGAAATCTAATTCTTGATATCACGAATTCAATTCTTGATATCACGAATTCAATTCTTGATATCAAGGATTGCCATTGCTTTACAACGTAAAATTATTTTTTGATATCAAGAAATATGTTTTAATGATAAAAACGGCTTGCCATAAGATCGATCCAGCTCGCCACAACTCGAGGCTCCAACTCGGCTAAGTGGGAGCCCTGCTTTACCTTAGATTATCATAACAATAAACTGTTAGCTCTAGATTGCCACAAACACAGACATGTAGATCATTATTACAGGTATGCTGAAGCTCAACTGGCCTTGATCGGTCCTCTTGGGGTGTGTAAGTGCACTTGTTTGCAGTATCTTCAGAGATTTTTAAGTCGTTGATCCTCTCAGTTTTTTAAATCTGTATGTAAAGGCTGTGATACTGAGGTATTTTCTTCATCTTAGTTACCTGTGGGTGTTTCACAAAGACTATGGCAGACCATTCATGACACTGGTTGCTCTCATCATTGGTCTCTCAAGGGACGTCACAAATCTACAGAATTTCATTATGATAGTTCATTGTAAAGAGAAACAGTTATTTACATTGTAAACTTAAGTTATATTTCAGACCTGGAATTATACTACGATATGCAATTTATGCCCTTAAAAAGTCTTGAACCAGATGTAGAATCAGATGGAAAAACCCTTAGAAATTATGATCGTTAGATATATTTTTTCCTGCAATAATGAAATATAAAAAATGTAGATTTGTGACCAGGATTTGTACTTCGCTTGAGAAACCAATGCCAGGAACTAGAGGCATGAATAGCCTGCCATAGTTCAATTCAAACTTAAGTCGATTTTAGTCTTTGTGAAACACTCCCCTGACCACTCAACAGGGGTAATAACCTCCAGTAAATCATAATCGAAAATTAACTTATTCTCGTTTGTGTACACTCAGGCGCGTACGCAGGATTTTTTCAAGGGGGGGGTTTTAACATTTATAAATCGGGCCGAAAATTTCGCAACGACTCAGCCAGCCGCTGAATAAGCGGGGGGGGGTAAGAGGACACTTCTTTTTTTTTTTTTTTGGTCTCGAAATTTGAAAATTTGACATTTTGCTCCGTTGGGGGGGGGGGGGGGTTTAGAGAAATTTAGGGGGGTTTACACACAAAAAATTACCAAAGGGGGGGGGGGGGTTTAACCCCCAAACACCCCCCCCCCCCCTGTGTACGCGCCTGTGTACACTTGTATATTTTAATCTATGCTTCAAACTCTTGCATTTATGTGAAATTGCTTAGTATTGATATTAAACGAAAGTTGTATAGTCAGCAAGACAACGAAAAGAAGATAACAGAGAACAAAATCGAAATACATGTTGTTGTTAAACAGTTTATTTCTTAGGATTAAAGCTATTTTTTGTTTGTTTAACCATTTGCCAAGTACACTTAAAAAGTGAATAATGGAATGAGGTTAACATTCAAAACAAAGAAAGCCATAACAGCACGTCAATGGCTTTTCATTGTGAGCATAATATTGTTTAGTCACATTGGGAAGGTGTTTTAACGATAGTAAAAATGGAATATATGCATGACTTGCTGAGGCTCATGATATAGGTTTCTTTAAACAGGTTTATACCTTTCATTTCCAATTTTATGTTATGTATTGGATATCATAATTATATCAACGTACAATATACAGTCAAACCTGCTTTAGCAACCACATATATAGAAAGGCCACATCTTTGTTTCCCTTGAATAGGGCTTCTTATTGAAACATGTACTAAAGCAACCTGTACATTAAGACCACCTGCCTATAAAGAACACTTTTCTTGACTCCCTTGGGTGGTCTTTATAGACAGTTTTAACTGTAATGGGTTAATTGTATTATATCTGTAGGTGAAAGCAACCATTTTTAAAATCTTTTAGTTGGCTATAGCCAATGAGACTGACAGCCCGCAAAACACACATCTTTGTTATTCAAGCCTTCTGATACTTTTTCTCAGGGTTCCTTATAATGATGTTGCCACCTTTGTGAGCTGCCAATTTTGTGAGTTCTCAGTCTTCTACGCTGTTGGTCTACTGGGATGTTCCTGTTTGATTTACCAGTATGTGTCCTATTACCTTTTATATATACAGTTTGTTGTGCTTAATATTCGATGGGATTATATAATTTTACAAGAGCCCAATGGCCTGACAGCCCATGAAACCAACTTGTTTGTGTGGCGAGCTTTCTGACAACTTTATTGAGGGTTTCACTTTCATGATACATGTACAGTGGAACCTCATTATAACGAGCTCTGATATAACGAGGTATCTTTAATAACAAGGTGATTCTGCTCTTTATATTCTTTTGTTTGTTCACCCTGATATACATGTAACAAGGTTATTTCCATGTCCCCTCGGACCTCGTTGTTTTCTGACAACTTTATTGAGGGTTTCATGATGCATGTACAGTGGAACCTTATTATGAAGAGGTCTGATATATAACAGAGTTATAACAAGGTGATTTTGCTGGTCTCAGCTCTTTATATATCTTTTGTTTTTCACCCTGATATAACAAGGTGATTTCCATGGCCCCTCGGACCTCGTTATAAAGAGGTTCCACTGTACTTACATTGTTGGTCTCGCATGTTGAGCTATCTGTTGTTTGCACTGTTAGTTCATTGGGATGTCCCCGTTTAGAATGTAGGTCCTATTACCTGATTATTTTATGTTCGTCTTCTTTTAATATTCAATTTGATCTGTTATTTCAGTCCTGCATGTAACATTTGCATATAGGCAGGTACTTATCAAGATTCCTTGTTGAAAATATACATTGACATAAACAGGTATTGATAAAATATGCTGTAACACATATTCATTTAATCATTAATTTCATTCCTAGTATAATCACGTTGATAACGGGATTGAAACAGAAAAACATTATGTGGGGCCTGCAAATTGATGTAACTATAATGAGTTTGTTTTCCTGTAACAAGATTCTACTGTATTTACTACTTTTCTTAACTCCTGATTATGTGAAAGAAGGGAGCTGAAATTGTTTTACTTTTATTGAAAGGACCTTGTATTTTTAGATGGGATATATGAAATATGAAATAAAATGTAGTAAAATATTACTCATTTGTTTATGTTCCTATTTGTGAATATCTCTCTCTCTCTCTCTCTCTCTCTCTCGTCCCTATCTATCTTTCTCTCTTTCCATCTTCCTCCCCTCTCTCTCTGTCTCTTCCTCTCCCTTGTATACAAAGGATCTTGTATTTTTAGATGGGATATATGAAATATAGAATAAAATGTAGTAAAATATTACTCATTTGTTTATGTTCCTATGTGTGAATATCTCTCTCTCCCTCTCTCTTTCTCCCCCTACCCCTTTCTCCCACTCCCCCTCTCTCTCTCTCTCTCTCTCTCTCCCTACCCCCTTCTCCCACTCCCTCTCTCTCTCTCTCTCTCTCTCTCTCTCTCTCTCTCCCTACCCCCTTCTCCCACTCCCTCTCTCTCTCTCTCTCTCTCTCCCTACCCCTCTCTCTCTCTCTCTCTCTCTCTCTCTCTCCCTACCCCCTTCTCCCACTCTCTCTCTCTCTCTCTCTCTCCCCTACCCCCTTCTCCCACTCCCTCTCTCTCTCTCTCTCCCCCCTTCTCCCACTCTCTCTCTCTCTCTCTCTCTCTCCCTACCCCCTCTCTCTCTCTCTCTCTCTCTCTCTCTCTCCCTACCCCCTTCTCCCACTCTCTCTCTCTCTCTCTCTCTCTCCCTACCCCCTCTCTCTCTCTCTCTCTCTCTCTCTCTCTCTCTCTCCCTACCCCCTTCTCCCACTCTCTCTCTCTCTCTCTCTCTCCCTACCCCTTCTCCCACTCCCTCTCAGTCTCTCTCTCTCTCTCTTCCCTACCCCCTTCTCCCACTCCCTCTCAGTCTCTCTCTCTTTCCCTACCCCCTTCTCCCACTCCCTCTCTCTCTCTCTCTTTGAAAGGAAGGGAAGGAAAAGTATAGTTTAGCACTGCACAGTATAGCCAGGCAGAAATAATATTTTGAGATTGAACAGCCTTATAACCCAACAGCAACAAGTATCCACCAGTAATGATAGGCGCTTGGGCTACCGGCAACGCGACGCAGGTTCTTCTCCACCCATAGAAAGCGACAAAAAACGGGGGGGGGGGGGGTGTTAATTCCAATATATTTGAATGTGACAGACCCTTGTAAAGCACTGCCCACCACTATTTGGATGTTAAAAAGTAATCGTCTACAGACTGGAAAAGTATAGGAATATTCAGTGGCGGATTCAGGGGGGGGGGGGCACAGGGGGCACATGTCCCCCCCCCCCCCCCCCCGGTAAAAAAAGGGGGGAAGGTGAAAGGGGCAAAAAGAAAAAGGGAGAAAATAGAAAAGGAGGGGGAAAGAAAAAGGAGGGGGAAAAGAAGAAAAGAGGGAGGAGAGGAGAATAAGCAGTAGAAAAGGAAGACAGGGGAAGCGAGAGCAGAGAAAAGGAAGAAAGGGGGAAGACGGAGGAAATAAAAGGGGGAAAGGAGAACAATGAGAAAGGAAAGAAAGGGGAATGATATTATAAGAAGGTGTTGCATAAAATGGGACCCCTCTTGCCAGGCATGTAGCCCCCCCCCCCAACAACAACAACAAAACAACAACAACAACAAACAAAAGCAAGATGGAAAAATGGGGGAAAGAGAGAATTTTTTGTGAGTTAAAGGAGAAAGGGAAAAAAATAAAAGATAATTGAACAATGAAAGAAGAGAGGTGCGAGAGCATTTCTTTTAAAAGAATAATGGGATAACAACCAGGGTCGTCGTTAAAGGGGGTCGTGGGGGGCAGGCGCGGATCCAGGATTTCTTGGGGGGGGGGCCTAAATTTGAAATTATGCGAGCCAAATATTGGTATGTAATGGTGACCAGCAATGGCGTAATGAGCAAAAATATTGGGGGTGGGGGCAGAAATAAATATCCACATTACCCCACTCTTACATGCTGGCCCCGCTGAACGTTATTAAAAGTGGGTGGGGGG